ATTATAATAGTCTGTTATTGTTTTTATGTCACAAATATACTGTCAAAGTTATTTTGTTATAGTTATATTGTCAGAGTGATAATGTCAGAGTTATTTTGTCATTCATATATGGACATTGTTACACTGTGCTCACTGTCATCATGCAAGAAATGTACACCAATTCACAGCAGAAGCTGACACATTCAACAAACAATAAAAGTTCAAAATACTGTACAATTCTACAAACTATCACAATGTGCTCACGGATGACTGATATTTAACATAAGTTCAAGCAGTTACTAGATCTACTCACTGAATATTCATATAACATTCATATTTAACCCCATGCACCACAGAGGTTCTCAACCTTCCTAATGCCGGAACCCTTAAATACAGTTCACCAAGTTGTGGTGACACCCAACCATAAAACTATTTTCTGGGTGCCATTTCATAACTTTAGTGAATATGTCTTTTCTAATGGTCCTAGGCGACCACTGTGAAATGGTCATTTGACCCTAAAAGGGTTGAGAACTGCTGATGTAGCAGGTCTGTAATGTTGTGAATTGCCGGGGAAATCCCAGAGAGCTCCCTATGGGGAGGACAAGGTCAGAGGACCAGTGATACAAGAGAAAAACGAGATAAGTAGGTCTCGAGTATCCCAGGGTGAGCGAAAAAAGGGATACAAGAAAAGCATGAGAATGGAACGGAAGACGTGAACCGGGAGACGGTAGTAAGAGAGTTGAAGTTCAGACCTGGTTGCGAGAGGTCGTATGTGGGAGAACGCCTGAAGAGAATGGAGAACTTGTTACAAGGCTATAACTGTTTGAGAGAAGACATGAATGTTTCCTGATTGCCAGTTTCAACATGCACTAATACCAGGTACAAGGCTTTAGTAGGAGATGGCTGTGTGATTCGAGAGATACGGATGGATCAAAGCAGTGTGTGAGAGAATTAGCCAGGCCGTCAGAAATCAGACAGGCATAACGACCACAAGGACGAAAGAATGCGCTGTCAGTAATATGTTTGATTCAGTAAACATTCGTTTCTGGTGTGTCAAAGTAACTAAGTGTTCGTCAATACAGCAATGTGGCGTGTAGAAACATACCCCTAGCAGAGCACATTGCAAGGTCCTTTGCAGAATGTCGCTCTCATCACAGTCAGCCTGGAAGTAACTCGGTCTCTAGCCAGCTTTCGTTTAGTATCCATGATTGACATTTATGCAATATGAATGGTATGTAAAAACGTTCTGCTTACCCTTTTGTTTCTTCATTCCCCTTTAGAAGGGCAGCTAGCACTCTGTATTATGGTTTTCAGCTAGACTTTCATATTCGTGCCCTTTCAGCCCAAAATATCCAGTTTAAGCAAACTCTTAAGTAATCATCTTTTACAGCATGCTTTCTCTCTCCCAAAATGGGAAAAAACAGTTCAGTTCTACAATCACAAGCATTATAAATACACAACCACTAAATTTTTAAATCTACAAATATTGAACTTCTCAGTTCTACACATTTTGAACTTTATAATTCTACCAACACTTAATTTCTAGATCTACAGATATCAAGACTGCTCACATCTACAAAGGTTAAATGAAAGATGCCTTCTACAGACAGAATAATATGTACAAGACAATCACATAACCAAGTGTCTGCAAAGCTGTTTGTTTCACTCATAAAAGAAATCTGGCTCCGGTAGCCAACAACAATGGGATCCGCTCTGACTGGATGGGAAATGTGTTATTCTGAAACTGATGATGGTAGTGATGATGATATTGGTGGTGGTGATGATGACGATGATGATGTAAAGAATGTGAGTATAGTATGTATGGTCAGAATGAAGGAGCTGTAAGGGACACACACCCCCCCCCCCCCTGCCATATCCACTGACACCACACATGTCGATACAAAGAAAACCCAGTAACGTTGTGTGATGCATAATCCAACTATAACCAGTTCAATATCATGATCTTTTAGTTCCTTCACCGTGAAACCACATCGTCTCTTCCGATTGTTTGGCTAATGATTCATGAATACGACCCTATGAACGAACGAACGAATGAACGAACAAACTTTATTTTCAAAGGGTTAAGAAATGGGCACGCAGGCCCGTCTAACATTTTGCCCTTCCACTCCGCTCCTTTCATACAATGTTTCATTTTTACCTCATTTCATAGTTAATAATAATAATAATAATTAATAATAATAATAAAAAGAGAAATGCAAAATTAAAAATTTGAGAAATATAGAAAAGAAACAAAAGAACAAAAAAGAGAAGAAAAAAAAATATGACAGTCATTAAGGGGTCACTACACGGCATTCTTCCCAATTTATAACAAAAATATCACTTTTTCAATGTGTTCATTTTTGTAAAATTCGGCATTCGTAGAATAGATTACACACAAAATGTGTGTCATTTGTAAACAATTTAGCATTCAAAAGTTAATACTAAAGACAGCAACTCATGCACTTTTTTAAGATAAAAAAAAAGTTTAAAAGTCACTTTTTTAACAATTCTATTTTTCTCTTTGTTGTGTATGGGATCTCCTTAAATCTCAGATAATATGAAGACTAGAGACGTGAAATTTTGTGTACAATATTATAGGGTCAGGTCTATTTAAAATTACAGTTTATCGAGTAATTTAAAAAAAAAAAGTTAATTATTATCTTAAAAAGATACATTTTTGTATTTTTTTAACATACCTAAATTTTAATATTCTCCAAAAAAATATATACAAACATCTTTGAAGTAAATACACTAGACCTGACCCTAAACATAGGTTTAAAGTTTATGTATCAATCATCTGTTTCTCAATACCTCTGTTTGTTTTTAAAATTTTAGCTGTCTAAGTACATATTGTTTTTTTTCATCAAAATGGCGACTGTTGCCATGGCAACCATGTTTTTTTTAAACTTGAAGTCTACAAATGTATCAACATACATCCCTACAAATGACCATTATAAAATAATTTGTCTTACTTTGTAAATTAAAAAAAAACTTTTTTACCTGTAGTGACCCCTTAAGATAGTTTGCCACTCAATCACTTAGTCATTAAGTCAGTTAAAATGTCTGCCAGTGAAATAGTCAGTTATTTAACAAAACAGTAAATCAGTCAAAAAAAAATAAGTCAGATCATCAACTATACTCTGTCTGTTTATTATCTGTCATTCCATTTATCCTCAGTCTATTTTTTTATCATATGTGTCTATTTGTCATCTGCCAGTCCATTTATCCTTTGTCAGTGTGTTAATAATTTGTCATCATTTATCATCTGCCAGTAAATGTATCATCTGTCAGTCAGTTAATCCTATATCAGTTTTGTTTATTGTCTGCCAGTTGAATTATTATCATCAGCCCATTTATCCTCTTTCAATCCATTTATTATCTGTCAGTCATTTTATCACATGTCAGTTACTTAATAATTTGACAGTATGCTTATCATGTCTCAGTTAATTTATCATCTGTGAGTCCATTCCTCATCTGTCTGTCTGTTTATTATCTGTCAATCCATTTATTATCCATCACACAAACACAAATATCACTCAGTCCATTTATCATCTGTCTGTTTATGATCAATCGGTTTATCATATTTCAGTCTGTGTCTTATTTTTTAGTCTCTTTATTATCTGTCAGAAAGCTTATCAGCTTATCAGTTTGTCAGTTTGTCAGTCAGATTATCAGAACATCTATGAATATGTCTGTAAGTCACCTATCAGTCACTAACTCAGTCACTGGATAAACATTACCAACAGTCTGCATGCAAAGAAGTCAGACCTGTGAAAGGATGTGCACCCAACACTCAGTTTCTGGAAGAGGACTAGAGTCTAGAAGTGCATAAACAACCTGAACTTCCCACGAAGAAGAAGAAGAAGATTATTATTGGATTCTTTAGTCGCTAGGTCAGTCTGACAGGCAATCTGTTAGAAAGTCCACAAGTCAGTCAATGAGTTTCTCAGAAGGTCCTTTGATCAGTTATTCAGTCTCTCAGACAGTCAATTTCTCAGTCAGTTACTCAGTCAGTCTTAAATATGTTGTTGTGTAAGTAAATCTGTTCACAAATCTGTCAGTTAGCAAGTCAAGCTGTCAGTCAGTAGTAAATTCAATCTCACATTCAGACAGCAGTCAGTATTTCAGTCAGTCAGCAGTCAGAAAGGACAAAAATGTCTCGTTAAATTTTTATTAAGAAATAAATCAAGGATGCCTGTAATTGTGTGGAAGTTCATATGTCTGTGAGGGTCACTAATGTGCCAAAGGTCATCTGTTTTGAGGGTCACCAATGTTTCAAAAGTACTCTGTTTACAAAGTTAACAGGCATGAAAGCACCCCTGCACCTAGAACCCCCTTTTTCCAACAGAAAACCAGTGCAGTGAAGGGAATGGAGCAGACAGTGTGTCTCACAGGTTTGTCTGTATTTACTAAAGGTCGTCAGACTCACCTAGTACTTGCACTGTGTCTGCTCAGGTAGTCGGACAACTCAACTCAACTGCACGTCTATCACGACAGTCTGTAGTAGGCCAACAATTTCTGATCAATCAAGACAGCATCTTCTTCTTCTTCGCGTTCACCAGCTGTAAACTCTGGCGGAAAGTTCTGGTTGTTCGTCCACTTCTGAACTGCAGTCCTGCTCCAGAACTTGAGTGTTGCCTGCGCATCAGTTTTACAGATCTGATTCACTTGAATACAGAATGTTGGTTCCTTGCCCCTCAGGCAGATGTACTCCGATTTCAAAGGATGCTCCCCAATTAGTCGACTCTTACGACATGCTTTTGGGTAGGCAGTGGGTCAATTCTTGTTTTTCCCACATTGGGGCCCCGGAACCCACACGGGGCCCCGGAACCCACACGGGGAAAGAAAGACAGCATCTATATTGCAACAGACCCAATAGCTAAGGGAGACTACAGCGGAATTGTAAATGCACGGTTACTTCGTACATTTATGTCCCTTGGAGTTTTTAAATGTAAATTCTGAGAGAATTTCATTTCGTCAGAAATCGGATTTGATTACTAGCAGTTTGTTCAGTTTTGAGTTTATCTTTGTTTGATGGTGGAATTATTTGGGTCGTACGTACACAACTCAGCCATCTGTAGCAGACTGGACTCTAGAGAATTGACAAACATGTCCGACGACGTATCCATGCAGGAGAAAAAGGAAGCCACACAGAATGTGATGAAGTCCGGCTGTGGGTTGTAGTAGACTCCATAGCCGTCAGGGACCACGGCCCCATAGCCCATCCAGTAATCAGACACCGTGGGCACCTGCAAGAGAAAGTTGTCAACATTAAATACAACACACCATGTGAAAACCACAAGGCGCTGATACTAGAAAACGGTAACATTGTAAACTTCATCTGCTTCTTCTGTGTTCACCGGCTGTGAGCTCGGGCGCATGGTCCTGGTTGTTCGTCCATTGCACTTTGGCTATGTGCTAGGGCCTGATTTTTGCGTGTACATCCATTTTACTGGCTTATCTGTGTGCAGTTGGTTGTTCCTTGCCGCTCGGGCAGATGCACCTTGACTTAAAAGGAAATCCCCAATTAGTCGACTCATACGACATGCTTGTTGGAGAGGCAGTGGGCCTATTCTTGTTTTCCCCCGCAATAGAGCCCCACAGCCCACACGGTGAATCTTATACTGTATTTATGTTAAATTAATTGACGGAAAAGCCGGTACGCCTAAAAAAACGATTATCGATGACCCAGATGTAAAAGAAGTGTGAACTTATTGATTATAATGATAGTCAGTGAAGGACCCTTGTCCCCGCCTTTAGACGTATAGGGAATATAGTGCTAGATCTTTTTTAATAGACCAATCGGCAAAGGATGGGTGATGTGGTCAGCATCATGCCTTTACTTTCCGGGACTGCACCCAGTACCCACTCAAGCCTGGCTCGACGTCGGAGCAAAGGTCATTTTTGAAAAAAAGTCCGGCTCCGCCAACAAGCAAACCAACGACCTTCCGATCCGCAAGCGGGGATCTAGCCGCTCCGCCACAGCGACTCTCCATTCTAGTAATAATGATAATAATAATGATAATTATAATAATTATTATTATTAATAATTCTAGAAGGAATATTAACAAACTTTAAAGAGAACTAAAACAGGCTAGAAGTAAACTTATAGCGTATACTGTGAGATGAATTTTAGGAGCTAATCCCCAGCACACAGTCTTGTCCTGGTCAATCCTGGCACAGGCGCCTCCTCTCCCACACTCCCTCCCGTGTACAAGTGTCCGCACTTAGTGCCAAAAATGGATGCCCTGTTCTCTACTAGTTACTCTTCTCGTCTGTTCACTGCCTCAAAGCCACATGTAGAACAGAGGTTTGCATGTGGGCGTACGTGCATCATGTCTCAAAGCCTCGTGTAGGACAGAGGTTTGCATGTGGGCGTACGTGCATCATGCCTCAAAGCCTCGTTTTGGACAGAAGTTTGCATGTGGGCATACGTGCATCATGTCTCAAAGCCTCGTGTAGGACAGAGGTTTTGCATGTGGGCGTACGTGCATCATGCCCCAAAGTCTCGTGTAGGACAGAGGTTTGCATGTGGGCGTACGTGCATCATGTCTTAAAGCCTCGTGTAGCACAGAAATTTGCATGTGGGCTTACGTGCATCATGTCTCAAAGCCTCGTGTAGGACAGAGGTTTGCATGTGGGCGTACGTGCATCATGTCTGAAAGCCTCGTGTAGAACAGAGGTTTGCATGTGGGCGTACGTGCATCATGTCTCAAAGCCTCGTGTAGGACAGAGGTTTGCATGTGGGCGTACGTGCAGCATGTCTCAAAGCCTCGTGTAGGACAGCGGTTTGCATGTGGGCATACGTGCATCATGTCCCAAAGCCTCGTGTAGGACAGAGGTTTGCATGTGAGCGTACGTGCAGCATGTCTCAAAGCCTCGTGTAGGACAGAGGTTTGCATGTGGGCGTACGTGCATCATGTCTTAAAGCCTCGTGTAGGACAGAGGTTTGCATGTGGGCGTACGTGCATCATACCTCAAAGCCTTGAGTAGGACAGAGGTTTTCGTTTGGGCGTAGGTGCATCAGGCCTCAAAGCCTCGTGTAGGACAGAGGTTTGCATGTGGGCGTACGTGCATCATGTCTCAAAGCCTCGTGTAGAACAGAGGTTTTCATGTGGGCGTTCGTGCATCATGTCTCATTTCTGGAGTCATCGGTTGTGTAAAAACACTCGCACGCGCGCTCACCGTTGTTCTGGTACTATCATCCACACAATTCCTCCTGGTAATGACAGCCTGTCTTTTGTAAAACAAATAATATGAGAATCAACACTGAAAAGACAGAAGTAATGTCAATAGGAAAAAAGATGACAGATCTAAACATAACAATAGAATACAAAGGCATTAAACAGGCATCTGAGTTTAAATATCTGGGAACTACATTTACCGAAGATGGGAAATTGGATAAAGAAATTTACATTAGATGCAGTAAAGCAAACCAAGTATTGGGACAGCTAGCCCCCCTCTTACAGCATAAGACAATCCCAATCAGCACAAATAGACATCTTATTCAAAGCATATTTATTCCAACTCTGTGCTACCAGTGCCAGACATGGTCACTCACAACAAACCATAAAAAAAAAATTTGTAACCAAGGAAATGAGATGTCTGAGAAGGGCTGTAGGAGTAACCATAAGAGATAAGATCAGAAATGAGATCATAAGAGAACAAGTCGGCACAGAACCAATTCTGGATTACATACAAAGACAGCAAGTGAAATGGTTTGCCCACTTAGAGAGAATGCCTTGTGACACCATACCATACAAAGCATACATGGGAAGAGAAGAAGGACGTAGAGCACGGAGTAGACCAAGAACAAGATGGAAGGATAACATCAGAGAAACTCTACAACAGCACGATGTGCCTATGGTCCAGGCAGCCAGAAGAGCAAGAAACAGAACCTTATATCTCCCTCGACACCCACAGCGGTAAAAGAGGAAATGAAGAAGAAGAAGAAGAATGACAGCCACACGAGCTACATCCCCTTGCCACACACACACACACACACACACACACATACAGACACACATGCGTGTGCGCAAGCAGGCACACACAGCATCTGCTTGTAACAAGAGAAACCTTGCAGACTCTCAGTTTAATAGTCATGTTGGTAACTGGGGAGCAGAGACAAGTGACAGACCAAAGAACAAGTACAGGCGACTGTTGTGTTCTCTCAGTAAGTGATCAGCGAATGAAGTAAGGTTCAAGGGTCACATGTATGGATTTTCCGACATTCAGTGTACTTTACCTGGCTAGTGGACAAGCGGAATGTGTTGAACTCCTTGTACGATAGGTCTGTGAATAGATCAGGTGTCTGCAAACCCAATTCTACCGCCGCTTCCCTCAAACCCAGCAGATGAAGGTCAACGCCATGTCCCAGGATTGTCTAAAGGAGGAGACAGAATTGCTGTTTGAACCTGCAAGTACTCAGCTGTGTGACGTCACGTGGCTTCAGCAATGAACACCGATTAACACTATCTTCGTAAGCATTCTTAACCCTTAAGTATCATTGCTGCAGATATCACTCGCCTACACTCATTCCCATGACTGGTCTTCTCATTCCCGTTAGTGACTCTAAGTGTTTGTAGGCATACCTGTGGGTTATCTGTCAGCGGCTATCTTGGTCTGCCACATGGCCTACTGTCTATACCCATTGAACTCCCGTCCTTTAACGTTCCTGAACTGTTGTCCATTTAATCAATCCGAATTCGAGGTTTAAATTTATGTTTTATGACCAAATGAGATGTTACAAATGTGGGCGGTGTTGGTTGAGGGAGTCAACACCCCCACCCTAACCTGAGGGCCCAGTGTCTCTCTTTGTCTGCTCTCTACCCTTTGACCTGTCTGGCTTGGAACGCCCTGCTGGTAGCTAAGCTACCGCTAGCAGAACTCCCAGGGTCAATAAAAAACAAACGCTTTCCCACCTCGGAAAGGTGGAGATTAGAAAGGCATTGAAAGCCAATGCAATCTAGTTTCGCCCTTTTTAAGAGGAATTTTTTGGTTTTTTGAAGCCCCACCCTGGCTTTTGCCAGGGGCCGCAATATAGGCAGGCCATAAATATGGCCACTTGTCTGAACGCGGTTTCTGGGACCTCTCCACGGCGATCCTCATCCACATGGTGGCACTTTGTGTCATCGGGTGTTTATCGCTTGTGTGATGTCTTGGTGGGGTAGAAAGTCAGTCAGTCAGTCAGGTGGAGATAACATCAAGGGGGACGGTCGAGTTTCTTTGTTTTAATTAATCTCAGCGCCAACAGTGAACGATGCGAAGTACACCTGACCACAACAACGTTAGTATCCCTGACAATAAACTAACACTGTTTATATTCAGTGCGGACAGTTAAGTTTTTATAGTGTCATCACCCTTACCATAACTACCAGCCCAACACGACCTTGTATTAGGTCCTTTGCAGAGTGCCACGCCTCCCCTTTTCAACGCCCCCCCCTCCCCCATTTCATGCCCACTTGATAGAACATGGGTCTTTTCTAACTTCTTTTCGACAGACATTCCAATGCCACCTCCGGCTGCAGGCTGATATACCCGAGCTCATCTTCCTGGAACACGGAATTCTACAACTGCTTTCTTTTTTTGTGTGTGCGCGCGCGTGTGTGTGTGTGTGTGTGTGCGCGCGCGCGCGCCCTTGTGCGTGTCTGACTTGCTCTGTTACCTGACTTCTCCATTAGGGACGGAAACGCCGTATGCACTTTCAAGGCTTTAAAATGGTTCATAAGTTGGAGCACACACTCAGATACGACGATCTCTCACTATATTATACAGGCCTATACCGTACATGTTCTTTAACACCCCGCCTACACAAGTACTTGCTTTCTCACACCACCTACACCAGTACATGTTCTCACACGCACCACCTACACAAGTAGTTGTTCTCTCACACACAGTTTATCCCCGAACATGTTCTCCCACACACAACCAACACCAGTATATGTTCTCTCACACACAACCAACACCAGTATATGTTCTCTCACTGACAGTTTACCCCTGAACATGTTCTCCCACACACAACCAACACCAGTTCATGTCCTCCCAAACACCAGAACTTACATTCAGGGTGTACTCCTGCTGCCAGTTGACCGCTTCCGTCAGAAGGTGTAGTTTTTCTTCCTCCTGAAAACGATCACCAAAAACATATACAGCAATTCTCGACATCATCACATTCATCACTGCAGGTTTCTCAACGAATTGACATTCCTCCACCCGCCATCCAGCTAATGCATCCAATCATCTATCACCCACCAAGAACATAGCCATCATCTATCTATCACCCACCAGCGAATGATCACATCCACCCATCCCTCTATTACCCAATAAAAGTATTACATCAATCCATCCAGTTAACTTCATTTATGCAACCACACATCCAGATCTATCCATTCAGCAGCCTCCCACCCACCTATCCGTTAATTCGCACAGCCAGTTAGTTATAAATACGCCTATCTCTGTCTGCTTGACCTATCTCCTTACATGTTTCCTAAATTTCCCGCAGACAGGCAAACAGACAGACAAACAGAAACCAGACAGGCAAACAGACGGACAGACATGTCATTTCCACAATTTATCTTTAATAATGAAGTCCCCACAGCTTGCGATTATCTTCCCAGTTATCTCCCCATCATTGTAGCTACCTCCCCACAACATGTGGTTGTCTGCTAAGACATTGTCCATCTCCCCACAGCGAGAGGTGTTCCCAACGCAGAAGACTTTGATTATCTGACATATGTCATGATCTCCCTAACATTGTGCTGAAGTATACCTCGCTCCATGCGACAGTCTACCAGTAACCCACTGTGGTTTTCCATGATGCTTGCTGCAGTATTGCACTCAGTCCGACTGGGCACTCACCGTGTTGTCTGTCTGGCCCAGCATCGCTCGGATCCAGGTCAAAGCTGCCTGCGAGTTGGCTCTGATGACGTCCACACGACCCAGTCTAAATCTGCGGACCGAGGCGCTTTCGTACGTGGATGTCAGAGTACCGTGAATTCTGTGGAAGAGGAATGGACAATCAGGCTATGAAGAGCGGGTTGTTCACTTCTGCTGCAAGCTTCGACAGCTCGGTGGCTGGCAAAAAACATTCGCCATACGGACAAGACAGAAACATTAACCAAATACACAAGACAGAAACAAGAACTTAAATCGACAAACACGAATGTCAACGTTAGGATTGCTCAAGATGATCCTGTATATAGTGTTACCGTGGCATAACTTCAATTTATGGAGATATCACAAACCACACACACATGCACACACACATGCACGCATGCACACACACATACACACACACACACGCACACACATGGGGTGATGTTTATTGTTTACGTCGAGACAAAGATTTCACAATTCCACTATCTGCCAGGTAAGCATTCTCTCATTTTCCAGAAGCAAACAGAAATTAGCTAGGGTAATTGACAAGTTCAGGTCCTTGGATTTTTGGACTAGATAATCAAGGAAATCTGGCTGTCCATTAATTACAATAATTAGATGCTACAGCCCGACAGTAATTAGTTGCAGCAATCGATTTTAGTTCTCTTATTCTAACTATCTCTTCATATTTTCTTGTATGTGTGCGTACGTGCGCTCTTGCGTACTTATAGCGTTATTTTGATGCAGCGCTGTTAAGCTCTGTATAATACATCAGTCATTTTGTTTTTTTCCTATCCCTGTCTAAAGGATTTAACCTTACTTAGATCACAAATATTTTTAACTCTTTTGTTGTTTACATAAAAGTTGATTCGTCTATTCGTACGGCTCCTGCAGCCCATCTCCACTCCTGAAAGGCCGTGACACCTGGAGCACTGATGACATGCCCTTCTTGTTATGTGGGATTTCTTGTTGTCACCTTCATCCGTTAATTGCGCTCTAGTCGATACCTGCCTACTAATATTCCGTTGTTTTGATGCACTTTTGCTGCAGTACGATATCTGAATGCTACATTTATAGTGAATATCTGCTGTATCTGTGGTGGATTATGTTGGTTGTAGATTTGTGCTATTATGTGTTATGTTGTGGTTTAAACACATACAACGTGGTATCGGTGAGATGACAACAGAAGAAAAAAAGACAGATGTTTTATGTTGTTGATTGTAACATACAACTGGATGTAGCAGAAATAACTTTTATGATGTAGTTTTATTGTGTCATTTATATCAGAGTCTAGTTTATTCTTTCAGTTTTTACACACATGCGCTCGCACACACACACACACACATATGTATACATTTATATATGTATGTGTGGGTGTACATGTTGTTAAATGATGCACTATCTATTCATCCGTGTGGCACATAATGTTACACTTACAACTGTTACAAATACTGTTACACTTACAACTGTGTTACATAGATTGTTAGACTGACAACTGTGTTACAAATATTCTTACACGTACAACTGTGTTACATATATTGTTAAACATGCAACTGTGTTACAGCTATTGTTACACTTCCAAATGTTACAAATACTGTTACACTTACAACTGTGTTACAAATATTGTTACACTGACAACTGTGTTACAAATATTGCTACACTTACAACTGTATTACAAACATTGTTACACTGACAACTGTGTTACAGATATTGTAACACTCCCACATGTGTTATAGACGTTACGCATACAACTGCGTTACAAATACTGCTAGATTTACAGCTGTATCAGATATATTGTTACACTTACAACTGTGCCACAGATATTGTTACACTCATAACTGTGTTACAGATGTTACGCTTATAACATTATTAAAGATATTGGTACACTTACAACTGTGTTACAGATGTTACGCTTATAACATTGCTAAAGATATTGGTACACTTACAACTGTGTTAGACATATTGTTACACTTACAACTATGTTACACATATTGTTACACTTACAACTGTGTTACATATTGTTACACACACAACTATATTACAGATTTTACTCTCATAACAGTGTTAATGATATTTGTACACTTACAACTGTGTTACATATTTTGTTACAAGTACTGACAACTGTGTTACAAATATTGTTACACTCATAACTGTGTTACACATATCGTTACACTTACAACGGTGTTACACATATTGTTACACTTACTGACAACTGTGTTACAGATATTGTTACACGCATAACTGTGTTACACATATTGTTACACTTACATCTATGTTACACATATTGTTACTTTTACAACTACTTTAGTCGAGGACTGAAACATGCTAGTGATGAAAGGAAGTGGTCGTGCAGCATATTATATAAATTGCAAGGACAGTTTTAGAAAATACTAGTAGGATGACAGTCGCAAAGTCAGTACTTTGACTGTTTTCACTGTCCTACTTCCAGGAGTATAGTGTTTCTCTGTGTTTTAGACAGGCATGAAAATCACACCAGATGGTGGATGCGTTATGAAAAATCTTCCTCAATGAATATATGAGATTTCAAGAACACAGTTACCATCAAATGTATTTCTTCTTCTTCTTTTTTTTTCTTCTTCTTCTTTTTCGCATTCACAGGCTGTAAACTCTGGCAGAAAGTTATGGTTGTTCATCCACTTCTGGACTTAATCCTTGTTCCAGAATTAGGGTTTTGAGTGCAGACACGTTTTACAAACCTGGCTTATTTCTAAGCAGACTTTTGGTTCCATGCTTCTCAGACCGATGCACTCCTGACTACGAAGAGAGCTCCTAGTTGGTCGACTCTAACAACACGCTTTTGGGTAGGCAGTGGGTTTAATTTTGTTCTCCCCCCCCCCCCCCATCACACTCGCCATGAACAGCAATTCCCATGCATCTCCATAGCAAAGTATAACACTATCTTCGAAAGAAACAGCCTTAATTAGCGATCTTTTATCACAAGCTTGTTAGAGGAGAGGGAACAGTGCGTCTTTTCTTTATACCGCCCCCAAAATGTGACATACTTCCTCAGCTTGTTACCTATCTGTAGTCTATTTTTTGTTACACCTTTGTCCCTATTCCCTTCCTAATTGTCCGCCTACATACAATGCTACCCACAGCATTCTGTTCAAATGAATCCACATCAATACCTGAATTAGTCAAGTCCCTCTTATACAAATCTTTACTTTAATAGTAGAGGCTGGCCTGGATATCTTCTGCCCATGTGTAATTCACCACAGAGGATGTCCCTAGGGACTCTAATGGCTAGCTCAGTTGGTTAAACCAGACTGCGTGACGACCGGGTGACGAACTCCTTGTGGTCCGGGTTCACAGCCGGGGTTAGGCAGAAAAGCCATATTTCTCGCAGATTTACGGTATCTTTCACGGAGTCAAAGCTGAAGGGTTGCGATTTCCACAGTACCGAGCCAAATTGTTAATAACTCATGGTTTCTGCATTAAAAAAAGGGGAGGGGCGGCACTCTGCCATACTTCAAACTATGAGTCACTGTATAACAATTTTGTTCTTATAGAATATTCAGTTACATGCCAGATGTATCAGACCACTTTCTTATAATATGTCAGCTATACGGACAGCTGTACTCACTTCTAGAGTGTCAGTTCTAAGGACAGTTGTATGACAGCACTTATTTATAATATGTAAATTATAACGACAGTTGTAATCACGTGTACAGTGTAACAGTATGCCAGAACTTACTTCCAATATTTCAATAGTGAGGTCATTTATATGCCAGAACTCGCTTGTAGTATTTCAGTTGCAAGGATAGTTTTACGAAAGAACCCAATTGTAATATGTCAACTCTAAGGACAGTTGTATGACAACACTCACTTGTAATATGTCAGTTGTAAAGACAGCTGAATGAAAGCGTCCGGGCTCATGCTTTGACTTTTGATGAAATCTTGTCCATAACCTTCAAATCTGTAGACACACAGGTCAAGGTCCTCCACTAACCTGGAAGAAAAACAAAGGGAAAAGAAGAGTCAGTGAAACGCTCACGCCCTCGCCTCTTGGCGTCTTGCGTATATGGTGTCAAATCCCATAATTTCATATACCAATCTGTTTTTGGTAGATAATGTCCTCAATAACAAGCTTGCTGCATTTGCTTCCATAGACATTTCATAGTACCTACATTTAAGCTGGACTGACCAGGAAGTACATATGGTGCACATTTGTTAACGCAATGCTATAGTGTCGCTTCCTCGGTAGATACGCGTTACATGACGTGCTGCTGACTGGTGGACCTGTGGTGTTGCTGAATGTTTGATCTGGAGTTACTGACAGTGTCCACTTTTCAGTATCTACGACTAATACGCAGAGGTACACCGCAACTATGCAAGTCCAAGTGTTTGCCTTACAGTCAGATAAAGGAAGAGGAGACTACATAAAGATTAAAGGTGATTCTCACGTAGAACTACAGTAGAGAGATAGACAAACAGAATAGGGAAGAAAGGGGGACAGGGAAGAGATGAGAGAGAGAGAGAGAGAGAGAGAGAGAGAGAGAGAGAGAGATAAACAGAGAGGGAAAGAGACAGAAAGATGGAGAGAGAGAGAGAGAGAGAGAGAGAGAGAGTCAGAAATGTAACTAGTGAAGGAAGAAAAGAATCAGATGAGGAGTGAGAATCACCCATAAGTCTCAGTCACATTACATGGTTTCTTTTGTTGTTGTTGAAGTAACAGCACCACTTCCACCATCAGCGTAAAAATACATAACTGAAGATACACCCGAGCCACATCAGCATCAGAGATACGTAACTGAAGATATCCCCAAGCCACGTCAGCATCAGAGATACATAACTGAAGATATACCCGAGCCACGTCAGCATCAGAGATACATAACTGAAGATATACCCAAGCCACGTCAGCATCAGAGATACATAACTGAAGATATACCTGAGCCACGTCAGCATCAGAAATACATAACTGAAGATATACCCGAGCCACGTTAATATGTAGATACTTTATCTTAGCATAACCCATCCATACAATAATCAGAGATACATAAATAAACATACAACCGAGCCATATAGAGGGACCACGTGAAGATGACGAAAGCTTTGGCCAAAAAAAAAAAAAAAGCCAGCGATTGCCTTTTTTATGCCACTTTTGCTGTGTCGGATTTACGACCACACGGATAGTGCTGTCGCCACGACTGTGCCGGTGAGGGTTTTATTTTGCCCCTGACAGAAAAAATCCCCAGCCTTACCAGATAAAAACTTGAACTGCCCAGTTGTCACATGAATATATATGTGCTTTTCAGGTCTCCTTAGAATGTTTTTCCTGGCAGAGTCTGGGCCCTATCTCTGGTCACATGGACCTCCTCGACTGTTGACTCTATCAACAAAGTTTATAAACATGGGCCAGGCACGGCCTTAGATCCATCAGTGGAACTCTAGTAGAGCCACAGTCCGCCATCCGCAGCCTGCACTCGAACCACACCGTGTTTGCTCACCCAATCCACTCTTCCGTCAAGCTCGGCCAATTTGACCAATGAGATGCCAAGTCAATATTTAGCAACAAAATGGCGTCTGTCTACGCTGCCCCAGGGACCGTTTATTCAAGGCCCCATTCTCTTCCTGCGCCCCCTGTCTCCCGTTCGAGAACTCAATAAAGAATGATAACTTTCTGTCTTACGCGGGTCATTCCAGTCGAATCTAATTAGGACGAGAAGAGGGTTCCGAGATTACACGTATTGATCGGGGACGTCCCAGGATGGGCTGGGATCATCAAGCAGAAGACATTCTTCGATACACCTCATACACAGATCACAGAGCTTTCCAATTTTTGTGTGTGGGGAAAGGGGGAGGGGGAAAGCGTTATTACTTTTGCTGGCATTTCTCCCAAATTTTAATTTCTATTCCTCGAGCCCGCTCCCAGGGGATGTATCGATCCCTGCATGCAAAAGTTAACAAAATCTTTAAACGACAGCCAATCTGGCAACAAATTGGCTTATTTTCTAGAAAGTGATACTTAATTACAGGCTTTCCGGGGATATCAAGTTCTCGGCCGGTCTGGGACACAAATCCTCGCCACAGACCATGAGTCTTTCTAAGGATTATTTTCTGGTTCCGCCTTTGATTCAGGAATACGTGGCGCTCGCTCCAATCTGCTGGTGATTTCCCGTTTGGTTTTCCCGACCTCTGGGACCTAACGTCGCAAAAATGCACTTAATTTCCTGAATCTCAAGGGACACAACCAACGTGCAAAGTAATCGTCAGTAAATTGTCGTTCTTGAAGTTTGAAGTATTTTCTGCCGGCGGGAAAAGATCCAAGTGAGAAATTGCTGAAGCAGACAGCCAAGACAACTTACTTCTCCAGTCTCACACCCAACAGAACAAGTCCATATGTATCAGAGAGACTGACCATCAGAGGTTCTCAGGCTGTTTGTGCCAGGGATCCACTTAAGTAAAGTGAAGATTTTTTCACTTGATGTTTCTGGGTCAACCATTCGAGACCACATTGAGCTCTTAAAGTGTGTGCCCACTTACCCCTTTTTTATTTTGTGTTCAGTGACAACATTTCGAGAGTTAAATTTTATTCCTGATAAGACCTGATTCCGGTACCGTCCATGAAAATCGGGGACAAATGGTCACATGACACTACAGCCTGCTGCAGAATCCCCTTGATGACGTCAGAGAGATTAATACAGTTAATCACTCTAAACTATCTGATACAGCATAAACACTTTCTGCTACAGACATTCTGCTACAGACTTTCTGCTACCGACATTTTGTTACAGACTTTCGGCTACATATTTTTTACAGACTTTCTGTTACAGAATTTTTTGTTACAGACTTTCTGTTATAGACTGATACATAGCCAAACTTTAGTACTGTCGATGGCTACGACTGATATAACCTTTGAAGAGTCTCTAAGGCGAAACGGGCCAAGCTTTTTGCCTCACTCTCTAACGCTTTTGAGTTCGTTTTGCGGCTTTTTGTGTGTGTGTGTTAGGTCCAGGTGTAATTTTTTTTACAGCAACCCATAGGGATCGTCGCCGGAGCTAGGATATTCGTGTTCAGTGATTTTCTATCGACCTCTATTAAACGTTGTACGGAAAAAGACCGAACAATACCGTATAAAAATCTAGTGAAATGACGTCGATTCACTCGACTTCAACCTTTAACATTTTAACCATTAGCCTTTAGATTTTCTAATCAGGAAGGCTAACACGGGGAACACATGCCAAACGAAGATATAGCACCTATGCTCTAAAAAAAACACAACGCAATTATGTCATTCTGACTAACGGAAAAAGGAAAAAAAAGATTTTCTATAATAGGATAACACTGTCTACAGATCAAACTGTCAAAAGACGGCCAATTAACAGAACATCTTTACGCAAAATGATAGCAGTCTGCTAGTTCAGTAAAGCAGATAAATGATGCCTACTAAATATCTAGGAGAGACTGAAAAAGGTGAGTCTATGACAATGTGGACAAGCAGAACTACCCACAATATTCTTGTCAGGGACGTGCAATAGGCTGGAGAAGTAGGTTTACCCTATTAACCAATTTAGTTTGGCTGCACTTGCGAACTAAAACTGACAGGTTTAGAGATACGAATTCTCCGGAAGTGGCCAGTGGGTTTAAACGTTTATGTCCCCTGTTAGAGCAGCTGCGATAGTGTTGCCTGGATACGTTTCTGCAATATCTCTAACACACAGCCAGTGAATGTTTTCTTCGCCCCAATGATGGTTCTGTTCGTGTGTTTACATCATCAAAATCCAGTAACACTGCGTGTCTTGGGTCACCAGTTTTTGTTGACTGTCTGATCAGCTCTTTTAACCTTTGGTGGTCAGTTGCGATGAACTCCATGGTTGCATGCCTGAGGCCTGTCCAGTCAGTCAGGTTCTGTTACCAGGTCCTTTTGGTTTGCCTCTACTCCTCTTTCACTCTATTGAGCCCTGCAGTACTGTTTTTGTAGAGGTCGTTTGATCTTATTATACTGTCAATAAAGGGGAAAAAATAGTTATCCGATGGCGTGCTTTTATTAGTTTGTAAATAAAATATCGTACTCGGGTATGTGAAAAGCAAACTCAAATGTTGTTTACCGTGTGCAATGGTCACGTGGGCGTGAATTGCGTGAGTTTTTATAATGGTTACAACGCAGTGGTCAATTGTGTTTAAGACCATATTTGTAAGCACAGCTCACGATGCGCGCACGAGAAAGCAACACAATTTGCGGTGAACATTATTCACTGCCTATGCCTTACGCAATTATAACCCTAAAAAAGGATAACACTACACCAAAACGATCAGTTCATTTTCAAGCACTCACAAATAGCGCCACTCTCGATAAATTTAATGAATATTGCTTTTGGCCGATTACAGGCAGGAGAAAGTCAAAATCAAGTTGCCAGACATCTAAACGTGCATCAGAGTACTATCAGTCGACTTTGGCACCGGTTCCAAGCCACTGGTTTAGTTAAAGAACGACATCGCAGTGGACGACTTAGAGTGACAACAGCAGCGGAGAATCGCTTCTTTCGGGTTCGTCACCTCAGAGACAGGTTAACTACCGCTTCCTAACCTGCACAGGCATTGCCCCAGGACGTCATGTGTCTGATCAAACTGTTCGGAATAGACTGCATGATGTTGGACTTTGGGCTCGATTACCACACCGAGGACGCGTCGCCACCGCCAAAGTCGACTTCTTTGGGCCAACCAACATCGTCCTTGGGCAAGTGACAACCAGTGGAGACGTGTCTGGTTCACTTACGAATCTTTTTTGTTGTTGTTGTTGCAGCGTCATGATAGACGGCGTAGAGACTACCGTAGACGAAATGAAGGTTTAGCCCAAAATTATGTTGTTGAAGCTCTGCTGCACGGTGGTGGAGGTCTAATAGTATGGGGAATGATCAGTTTCAACGAAAGGAGTCCATAGGTACACACTGAAGGAAGCTTGAATGCGCAATGATATGTTCATGAAATGTTTCAACCACATGTTCTTTCATTTTAGGATGCCAACAGATACCTTTTTCAACAAGACAAAGACAGACCCCAATCTGCACAGCTGACCACGCAGTTTCTGGATGCCAATAACATTCAAACCCTTTCCTGGCCATCTTTGTCTGCTGACATGAGTCCTTTGTCGCCGAAACGTTTCTCCAGCCAACGGTCGTTATCTGTTCCAGGCGCTCCAGGAAGAGTGGGCAGACATCCCACAGGCCCACCAGGCATCTGAACGCGAGATTTCAGTCACTGATCCATGCAAGAGGAGGCCACACACCATACTAACGGCCGACTGACCGACTTTCTACCCCACCAGGACACCACACAAGCGATAAACACCCGATGACACAATGTGCCACCATGTGGGTGAGGATAACCGTGGAAAGGACAGCGTTCAGCCTTTAGGCCATATTAATGACCAGGCTATATTGTGGCCCCTGGCAAAAGCCAGAGTAGGGCTTCAAAAAAAATTTCATCCTCAAAAGCACGGGACGCATATTGATAATAATAATACATAATAACGCGAAAGGCGTAAGCTTAAAAACTATCGTGACCCAGAATCAAGAAAAGGTGTAAATTGATTGGTTGAACTCTAAGGTATTTTTGTGTGAAATTTGGGTAAATTCACTTACTGCATTACAAAGATGCAGAATGACAAAATCGTTCCTTTTAGTAACTATGCGTTTCTCTCTCTCTCTCGCTCTCTCTCTCTCTCTCTCTCTCTCTCTCTCTCTCTCTCTCTCTCTCTCTCTCTCTCTCTCTCTCTCTCTCTCTCTTTTTTTTTTTTCCAACAGTATATTTATGTACATATTAATTCAATTTTTGATTTTCACTGTAGTTAAAAGAGGTTCATAGCAGCCAATGTATTGTATGTTTACAATGTGGTTGAATTGTGCCGTTCCCAATCTTGCGCGTATACACTAGTCAACATTTGTTATCCGGTTCCCCTTCCAAAAAACCCGATAGAGAAGCTAAAACATCCACTAGGTCATAAATTCCGAACGTGTTGATAAAGGGGCTTACAGTATTGCACTATCCATCTAAAACTGGAAATAAAACTGCGCGTGAGTAGTCTACCAACTTAATGTCTAGGCCGAGAATCTCACCATGAAATGGCGAATCTAGTTCAGAGACCAGTTTTATTTCTGGATATTAAATCTGGATATTTTACACGTAAACCACCAGACACTAACAGATTCTAGATAAATAAATCAGGCACGCAGGCGAAATAACCAGGTCGGATTGCCCGGGGGAAGATGTTTGGATGGCTACACTTGAACAGATAATGCGATTGGTGCTATTTAGATATCGACTAAGCATCCACTATTCTTTGAGCTTTGGAATGTTCTGAAATGTGTATGGACTTACTTACTTACTTACTTACTTACTTACTTACTTACTTACTTACTTACACTTACACTCACACTCACACACACACACGCACACACGCACGCACGCACGCACTCACTCACACACACACACACACACACACACCTCTCACATGCAAAGGGCATGAGAGCCTAGGGATTACGGCACCTTGATGGACCCCTCCCCCCCCCCCACTCCCACCCCCCGCCAGAAACATTTAGCTTTCTCCCTCCACATAGAAGATTATAAGTAGATTATGCGGCACTATATCTACGCATAGCAATTCTCCTGTAGAATAGTTTGTAAATTTAATAAAGGCTGTATGTTTAATGACTGTATGCTTTGCAACTATTGCCGTTCCTCTTTTTCTTTTTTTCAAATCACCGTCTGTGTTGGGTACCGTTTTTCACACTACAGCTCTATCCACAATAGGTGTTAGAAATAGCTACCACGGTTCATTTAGCAATTACTGATTGACCATGACTTATTAGTATACTTTCCAGGATGCTGAGACACGTCCCTTCACAAACAAATGGTCTACCATAGCGGCACACATTTTGAACACCATCCCTACTGCAACGTTTCTTTATTAAACATTATAAGGTTGAGGCACTTGAGTATCAGGAAATGACATCATACATTGTTGAACTACCACCTCGAATACCTGCCACTGCCAAGGAACACATGCTTAACCAAAATTAGTCTTTTATCAATAGTTAACACCGATCAGTTACTAAAACACCAGTATAAAACTATGATGTTATAAACCAATGGTTACATGGCACTTGAGACATGAAGTAATACGCAAATAATTGATCTCAAAATGTTTACAGTCATTAAACATATACACTATATTATTTCAGATGCATGATTACATTTATTTACCATTTAAAACGTTAGTTGCGCACCCTTCACATAATGCTGTATTGTGAGCACAATTTGTCATTTTATAGGACAAATTTTTTTTTTTTTGGTAGTAGTTTGCCACTGAAACTAAACGGTCGGCTTTCGATGCCATTGTCAAAACCAACGCTAGGCGGTCTGTTGCCAAATCGCTCGCAGCTGGAATCGAACCCAGCACCTTGGAATAACGAAGCTTGTCTGTAACGAATAGGCTACAGAAGCCAGGATTTACCATTTATCACGTTATTTTTATTATTATTCTTACGCGCTTAAGTAAGACTTTGGTCCCTTAAGGCCCTGCCCCCCCCCCCCCCCCCCCGAACCATTTTTCGCCCCCCACCCCCCGTTTTCCCCAAAAAATTTTGAAAATGGGCTGACACACACACACACACACACACACACACACACACAAATACACGCACACATGTAGACATGTACACGCACACACTTCTTCCACTTTCTCTTTCTGACCACTAAGACTCGCAGCTAAAGGTTTCTTATTTTTGAGGTATCTACCTTCATCCCTGGATATACTCACATACATTAGCATGAGTCAGTTTGCTCACTACTTTGACTTGTTTCCGAATGTCATATTATGGTTTAAAAAACAAAGTTTTATTTCTTCTTGCAGTCGTATTTCTCTGAATGCACTCTTTACTGTTGAAACTTCTGCGACGCAATGCCTTGATTTTGGTCCCATGAGCCTCCTAACCGCACTCCATGCAACCAATGGTGTGCTATAGCAGCAATAAGTCCTCAGAGGTAAACGTATATGCTTTATCATTGCTACTTCTTTCAGTGTTAGTCAATACCCGTAAACTAGTCTTCTGTTGTATTAGAAGGTCTTATTCGTCATCGGCTGACAGTCCCTTTGTACAGAAAGATATCAAACAGCAATAACTGTGCGGGAGCACACATAACTGCACAGTCCGCTCACAAATCAGTTATAGTTATCTCCACTTGAGCCAGATATCGAGGCCAAACAACCCTACTCATCTTTTCAGGGCAGCTCAGACTCGGCGACACTCCTCTGCCATCGTGGCTAGACAAAGCCAGAGCGACCAAACAGCTGTGGCTAGCGTTGAGAGTCCTCGTGTGTGCTATCGTGTCGAAGGACACCAGTTCATGTTGTGAGTAATACTAAAACGTGGCTTTTCTGAAATACTGGTCCCGGACGATAACCATTGGGCAGCTGAGGGTGATAACCCATCTGGATGTCTGCAGTGTGTGGTCTCAGTGTTTAGTCTCAGTGTTTAGTCTCAGTGTATGGTCAAGGTCACACACCAGAGACAAGGTCACACATGAAAGACAAGGTCACACGTGAGAGACGATGTCATACACGATATACGAGGTCACACATAAGAGACGAGGTCACATACAAGAGACAAGATGACACACGAGAGACGAGGTCACGCACGAGAGGATGAGGTTACCCATAAGAGACGAGGTCACACAGCTGTTGGTGCAGTCACGTGCGAGAGATGAGGTTACCAACCAGTCTCAGTGAAGTTTATAGATATTGATAACCTCTTGCTCGCCGGGTCGGGCGTCATATGTTCGAGTCCCTTTTGTTGGACAAATGTGTTTATTATGCTAAACTCAGTATAAAATTAGCAGGTGGCAACGAACCGCCACACAGGGAGAGCTATGACCACAACCGCTCTAGGTCCAAGAGGAAAGACTAACTAATAACTAAATATAAAATGAGTACTTGGAAAGTTCTTATGAAGTAAAGGCGGTCAGTGCGATATTCACCATATAATAATATTACATTGAAATTAATGTAATGGGGAGAGGTGGGGGGCTGAGTGGTCTCGAGATAGCGTCCGCCTCGAGTGCTGGAGGTCCCGGGTTCAGGCCCCGGTGAAGGCTGGGATTTTTTGTGTCACGTAGACTTCTAGAAATGTCCCCTGGTTTCTGCTCTGGATAGCATGATCGGACGCCGTGTGTATTGTTTCTCACGTCAAAGATACCACTGACTGACTTTCTACCCCACTAGGACATCAGACAAGCGATAATCACCCGATGACACAACGTGCCACCATGTGGATGAGGATCGCCGTGGAGAGGTCCCAGAAACCGCGTTCAGACATTTGGCCATATTTATGGCCTGCCTATATTGTGGCCCCAGGCAAAAGCCAGGGTGGGGCTTCAAATAACAAAAATAATTCGTCATAAAAAGGACGAAACTGGATATAACGAACAAAGACATACCACTGGCGGTTGAAAATCGAACTAACAGCGCTGTCCGGGCAAAATTTAGAGTTAGAAATCTACTCAAAGCATTTCAGGATCCTCACAGGTTTTACGGATTTCGCGTACTGTGCTGAGATTCTTCAGAATAACGCTTGAGTTAGAGGCATGAATTAATCGAGTAACATAAAGTGTATTGGTCGGCACTCATAGAAAGAAGTAGAAAGAATAGAAACAGAATATAGCACTTAAGGGTTACCACCCTTGAGCCACGATGTTGAACCGTTGTTTAAACAGAAACGGCTTGCAGGTGTGTGACGAGAAAGTAAAATCTCACCTGTCCACAGTTTCTCGCGCTGTCCTTACGTCTGCTAGCGATTGGGAGGATAAGTTCCACTTCAAGGGAGAGGGTGCAGGGATGCGGTCAGGCTCGAAGCAACTGCTGGACGCTTGCTCCTTGCCCCTGGTAAGATCACCAACGTTGGACTGTTAGTGTTGGCACTGACTTCTCCACGCCATTATTGATAAGATCTCATGTACTAACAAGTAACTAGTCCATGATTTTTTGGTATCAAGTAAACTAGTCAGCGTTTTGTGTGGAGCTAACAATTAAACAGTCAACGTTTTATGGAGCTGACAGGTAATGGTTACGTAATGGTTACATGCTTTTGTGGAGCTTGGAGCTAACTGTTAAACAGTTCATGTTTCATGGAGCTAACAGTTAACTAGTTACATGTTATTAGGGAGCTAATGGTTAACCAGTAAATAATTGTGTGGACCTAAAAGTTAACCAGTTAATGTTTGTGTGGACCTAACAGTTTACTAGTCGAATGTTGTGTGGACATAACAATCAACTAGAAATGCCTTAGAAACCTGATGAATACTGCAACTTGCTGCAAGTACTTACATGACACAAAACTTGCTGCCAGTACTTATTTGATACACTTTCTGCAAAAATGAGATGAAACTTGCTGCCAGTAATTATATGACACTGAACTTGCTGCATAAATGAGACTAAACATGCCGCCAGAACTTGCATGACACTAAACTTGCTGCCAGTACTTATATGACACTAAACTTGCTGCCAGTACTTACATGCCACTAAACTTGCTGCCAGTACTTACACGACACTAAACTTGCTGCCAGTACTTACATGACACTAAACTTGCTGCCAGTACTTGCATGACACTAAACTTGCTGCCAGTACTTACATGACACTAAACTTGCTGCCAGTACTTGCATGACACTAAACTTGCTGCCAGTACTTGCATGACACTAAACTTGCTGCCAGTACTTACATTACACTAAACTTGCTGCCAGTACTTACATGAAACTAAACTTGCTGCCAGTACTAACATGACACTAAACTTGCTGCCAGTACTTACATGCCACTCTTATGACACTAAACATGCCGTCAGAACTTGCATGAGACTGAACTTGCTGTCAGTACTCATATGACACTAAAGTTGCAGCCAGTACTTATGTGACACTAAACTTGCTGCCAGTACTTATATAACACTAAACTTGCTACCAGTACTTATATTCACTAAACTTGCTGTCAGTACTTACATAACATCATATTTTAAATCGATATCTGTACATGTGTACATGCTGCTTGTACTTACCCAACACTAAAAGTGTGTACTTGTCTGTGAGTACTCAGATGACACTAAATATGTGTACTTGTTTGCTAGTACTTGCATTAAATTAAATTAAAGTAACTTTCAGTGAATACCTAAATGACACTGAACGTGTTTGTGAGTACTTACATGACACTAAAGGTGGGAACTTGTCTGTGAGTACTTACACAACACTAAATGTGCCTACTTGTCTGTGAGTACTTACACAACACTAAATGTGCCTACTTGTCTGTGAGTACTTACATAACACTAAACGTTCCTTCTTGTCTATGAGTACTTAGATGATGCTAAACATGGGAACTTGTCAGTGAGTACTTGCATGACACTAAACGTGTCTACTTGTCTATGAGTACTTACATGACACTAAATGTGTGTACCTGTCAGTGAGTACTTACACAACACTAAACGTGTCTACTTGTCAGTGAGTACTTACATGACACTAAATGTGTGTACCTGTCAGTGAGTACTTACATGACACTAAATGTGTGTACTTGTCAGTGAGTACTTACACAACACTAAATGTGTGTACTTGTCAGTGAGTACTTACACAACACTAAATGTGTGTACTTGTCAGTGAGTACTTACAAAACACTAAACGTGTCTACTTGTCTATGAGTACTTACATGACACTAAATGTGTGTACCTGTCAGTGAGTACTTACACAACACTAAACGTGCCTACTTGTCTATGAGTACTTACATGACACTAAAGGTGTGCTCCACCATGTGTCCCAGAGCGATGCCGTCAGCCACTGAATGTTCCATGTTGATGCCGCAAGTTCCGTTCTCGGAGACGATCAACTGAGGCAGGGGAAGAACAGCGAATAGTATACATGTGTTTGTAATCGGTGTTTTAGGGTGTACTTTCCCTGCTACCATCTATCCATTTTTATCTTTTCCCCACTACCATCAATCCATTATTTTCTCTTCCCCACTACCGTCTTTCCATTACTGCCTCTTCCCTACTATTATTGTTTCCTCCCCACTATCATCTATCCATTACTTTCTTTTCACCACTACCGTCTATCTATTACTGTCTCGTCCCTACTATGAGCTGTCCATTATTGTTTCCTCTCTACTACCATCTATCCCTTATTATCTCTTCCCCACTACCATCTATCAATTATTGTTTCTTTTTTGCTAAAAAATATCCATTATTGTATCCTCCCCACTACGATCTATGCAATATTGTCTCCGTCCTCCTCCATTTATCCATTATTATCTTATCCCTACTTTCAGCTATCCATTATTATCTCTTCTCTTCAATCGTTTATCCATTATTGTCTTTTTCCTCCTCCATCTATCCGTTATTATCTTGTCCCTACTACTATATATCCATTATTATCTCTTTCTAACTACCACCTATCAATTATTGTCTCTTCGCCACTACCATCTATCCATTATCTCTTCCCCACTTCCAACTATCTATTATTTCTTCCCCACTATTATCTATTCATTATTTCTTCCCCACTACCATATATCCATTATTTCTTCCCCACTACCATCTATCCAATATTTCTTCACCACTACCATCTATCAATTATTTTTTCCCCACTACCATATATCCATTATTTTTTCCCCACTACCATATATCCATTATTTCTTCCCCACTACCATCTATCCATTATCTCTTCCTTACTACCAACGAAACATTATCTCTTAGCCACTACCATATATCCATTTTGTCTTTGCCACTTCCATAAATCCATTTTTTCTTTGCCACTACCATCTATCCAATATTTCTTTGCCACAACCATCTATCCATTATTTCTTTCTTACTACCATCTATCCATTATCTTTTCTTTACCACCATCTATCCATTATTTCGTCTTTACTACCATCTATCCATTATTGTCTCTTTGCTACTACCATATATTCATTATTATCTCTTCTCTACTAGCACTGATCCATTAGTATACTTCCATACAGAAATAAAGACAAGGATAGCGTCATACAAGATATACACCACGTGACAGATACACAGTCTTTTGAGTAAGTTTATAAACAAGCATGGAATATCTGCATTCAACAAAGCCATCAGCGGCATTATGTGTCTGAAGACAAGTATCCAGATGTCAAGGAATACTGCAAATCCAACACATTTCACTGCATTTCCTCAGTCAAAGAATTCAGCAATTTTGTAACTATAAAAGAACCAAGGAATTAAATTCTCCCAGCTGACAAGCCAGAGCACCAGTGACATAAGTCAGTACACAGCTGACATAAGTCAGTGCACAGCTGACATAAGTCAGTGCACAGCTGACATAAGTCAGTGCACAGCTGACATAAGTCAGTGCACAGCTGACATAAGTCAGTGCACAGCTGACATAAGTCAGTGCACAGCTGACATAAGTCAGTGCACAGCTGACATAAGTCAGTGCACAGCTGACATAAGTCAGTACACAGCTGACATAAGTCAGTACACAGCTGACATAAGTCAGTGCACAGCTGACATAAGTCAGTACACAGCTGACATAAGTCAGTGCACAGCTGACATAAGTCAGTGCACAGCTGACATAAGTCAGTGCACAGCTGACATAAGTCAGTACACAGCTGACATAAGTCAGTGCACAGCTGACATAAGTCAGTGCACAGCTGACATAAGTCAGTACACAGCTGACATAAGTCAGTACACAGCTGACATCAGTCAGTACACAGCTGACATAAGTCAGTACACAGCTGACATAAGTCAGTACACAGCTGACATAAGTCAGTGCACAGCTGACATAAGTCAGTGCACAGCTGACATAAGTCAGTGCACAGCTGACATAAGTCAGTGCACAGCTGACATAAGTCAGTGCACAGCTGACATAAGTCAGTACACAGCTGACATAAGTCAGTGCACAGCTGACATAAGTCAGTGCACAGCTGACATAAGTCAGTGCACAGCTGACATAAGTCAGTACACAGCTGACATAAGTCAGTGCACAGCTGACATAAGTCAGTGCACAGCTGACATAAGTCAGTGCACAGCTGACATAAGTCAGTACACAGCTGACATAAGTCAGTGCACAGCTGACATAAGTCAGTGCACAGCTGACATAAGTCAGTACACAGCTGACATAAGTCAGTACACAGCTGACATAAGTCAGTACACAGCTGACATAAGTCAGTACACAGCTGACATAAGTCAGTACACAGCTGACATAAGTCAGTGCACAGCTGACATAAGTCAGTGCACAGCTGACATAAGTCAGTGCACAGCTGACATAAGTCAGTACACAGCTGACATAAGTCAGTACACAGCTGACATAAGTCAGTACACAGCTGACATAAGTTAGAGCACCAGTGACATAAGTTAGAGCACCAGTGACATAAGTCAATACAAAGCTGACATCAGTCAGTACACAGCTGACATCAGTCAGTACACAGCTGACATAAGTCAGTACACAGCTGACATAAGTCGGAGCACCAGTGACATAAGTCAGTGCACAGCTGACATAAGTCAGAGCACCAGTGACATAAGTCAGTACACAGATGACATAAGTTAGAGCACCAGTGACATAAGTCAATACAAAGCTGACATCAGTCAGTACAAAGCTGACATAAGTCAGTACACAGCTGACATAAGTCGGAGCACCAGTGACATAAGTCAGTACACAGATGACATAAGTCAGTACACAGCTGACATAAGTCGGAGCACCAGTGACATAAGTCAGTACACAGCTGACATAAGTCGGAGCACCAGTGACATAAGTCAGTACGCAGATGACATAAGTTAGAGCACCTGTGACATAAGTCAATACAAAGCTGACATCAGTCAGTACAAAGCTGACATAAGTCAGTACACAGCTGACATAAGTTAGAGCACCAGTGACATAAGTCAGTACACAGATGACATAAGTCAGAGCACCAGTGACATCAGTCAGTACACAGCTGACATAAGTTAGAGCACCAGTGACATAAGTCAGTACAAAGCTGACATAAGTCAGTACACAGCTGACATAAGTTAGAGCACCAGTGACATAAGTCAGTACACAGCTGACATAAGTCAGTACACAGCTGACATAAGTCAGTACACAGCTGACATAAGTCAGTGCCCAGCTGACATAAGTCAGTACACAGCTGACATAAGTCAGTACACAGTTGACATAAGTCAGTACACAGCTGACATAAGTCAGTACACAGCTGACATAAGTCAGTACACAGCTGACATAAGTCAGTACACAGCTGACAAAAGTTAAAGCACCAGTGACATAAGTCAGTACACAGCTGACATAAGTCAGTACACAGTTGACATAAGTTAGAGCACCAGTGACATAAGTCAGTAAACAGATGACATAAGTCAGAGCACCAGTGACATAAGTCAGTACACAGCTGACATAAGTTAGAGCACCAGTGACATTAGTCAGTAAACAGATGACATAAGTCAGAGCACCAGTGACATAAGTCAGTACACAGCTGACATAAGTTAGAGCACCAGTGACAAAAGTCAATACAAAGCTGACATCAGTCAGTACACAGCTGACATAAGTCAGTGCACAGCTGACATAAGTCAGTACACAGCTGACATAAGTCAGTGCACAGCTGACATCAGTCAGTACACAGCTGACATAAGTCAGCACACAGCTGACATAAGTCAGTACACAGCTGACATAAGTTAGAGCACCAGTGACAAAAGTCAATACAAAGCTGACATCAGTCAGTACACAGCTGACATAAGTCAGTGCACAGCTGACATAAGTCAGTACACAGCTGACATAAGTCAGTGCACAGCTGACATCAGTCAGTACACAGCTGACATAAGTCAGTACACAGCTGACATAAGTCAGTACACAGCTGACATAAGTTAGAGCACCAGTGACAAAAGTCAATACAAAGCTGACATCAGTCAGTACACAGCTGACATAAGTCAGTGCACAGCTGACATAAGTCAGTACACAGCTGACATAAGTCAGTACACAGCTGACATAAGTCAGTACACAGCTGACATAAGTCAGTACACAGCTGACATAAGTTAGAGCACCAGTGACATAAGTCAGTACACAGCTGACATAAGTTAGAGCACCAGTGACATAAGTCAGTACACAGCTGACATAAGTTAGAGCACCAGTGACATAAGTCAGTACACAGCTGACATAAGTTAGAGCACCAGTGACATAAGTCAGTACACAGCTGACATAAGTTAGAGCACCAGTGACATAAGTCAGTACACAGCTGACATAAGTCAGAGCACCAGTGACATTAGTCAGTACACAGCTGACATAAGTTAGAGCACCAGTGACATAAGTCAGTAAACAGATGACATAAGTCAGAGCACCAGTGACATAAGTCAGTACACAGCTGACATAAGTTAGAGCACCAGTGACATAAGTCAGTAAACAGATGACATAAGTTAGAGCACCAGTGACATAAGTCAGCACACAGCTGACATAAGTTAGAGCACCAGTGACATAAGTCAGCACACAGCTGACATAAGTTAGAGCACCAGTGACATAAGTCAGTACAAAGCTGACATAAGTCAGTACACAGCTGACATAAGTTATAGCACAAGTGACATAAGTCAGTACACAGCTGACACACACAACAAAACAAGCCCAGTGTAATAGCTGCCTCTCTCAGTATTGATTGAAGAACGTTTCCCTATGTTTGCATAACGGTTGATTATGTGAGCTTACCACTGACTCTGGAAATTGTATTGCCGATGTACCTGAACAACAATACCAATATTCTCGCTCTACATTTATTCTTTGAAAATATTTCCCCCTTCTAGGTGTGACATCTCACCTGGATTGTTTTGTCCATCCACCTGTTGCAGGTGTTGTTTCTGACACCCTGTCCATGGATTATGTGGTGTGTCCGAGCTGTGAGGTCTGTCACTAAATCCTTCCGCGAGCACCCAAAGGATGGAACCGTAGCCTTGTCCAGACAGACCAGAAACAGACAATTCTCTAGCGTCTGAAGACTGATTCGGTTTGTCTCATCTGCAAGTATAGACGTATTTCCTGTCAAACCAATCAACAATCACATTTCTAAAACTATTATATGCTGCATTTTATGCTGAAACCTCGAAGCTATCTCAGGAATGGTGTAAGTGGAAGAGGTAGAATGGATGATGTAGACTGGATGACATAAAATACAACGTGTTATGGGTTGGATGATGTAGAATAAGAGATGCTGTAGACTGGATAATGTTGAGGATTGGATCACGTGGAATGGGCCATGCTGTAGATCGGATGTTGCAGAATGAATCATGTAGAATGGGTCAAGCTGTACGTTGGATGTTGCAGACTGAATCACTTAGAATGGGTCATGTTGTAGGTCGGATGTTGCAGAATGAATCATGTAGAATGGGTCAAGCTGTAGGTTGGATGATGTTGCAGACTGAATCACTTAGAAAGGGTCATGCTGTAGGTCGGATGTTGCAGACTGAATCACTTAGAATCGGTCATGCTGTAGGTCGAATGTTGTTGCAGAATGAATTATGTAGAATGGGCCATGCTGTAGGTTGGATGATGTATCAGAATGAATCATGTAGAATGGTCCATGCTGAAGGTCGGATGTTGCAGAATGAATCATGTAGAATGGGTCATGCTGTAGGTCGGATGATGTTGCAGATTGGTTGATTTTTTAGATTTGATGATGTTGTAGACTCGATGATGATGTAGTCTGGTTGGATGTAGTGACTGGTTGGATAATGTTGCAGACTAAATCACTTAAAATGGGCCATGCTGTAGTTCAGATGTTGCAGACTGAATCACTTAGAATGGGTCATGCTGTAGGTTGGATTATGTTGCAGACTAAATCACGTAGAATTGGCCATTCTGTAGGTGGGGTGATATTGTAGATTGGTTGATTTTTTAGACTGGATGATGTTGTAGACTGGATAATGATGTAGTGTCTGGTTGGATGTAGTGACTGGTGGGTGTGGAGACTGGTTAAATGTAGGGCCTGCTGGGTGTGGAAACTGGTTGGATGTAGTGTCTGATGGGTGTGAAAACTGGTTGGATGTAGTGTCTGGTGGGTGTGGAGACTGGTTGAATGTAGTGTCTGGTCGGTGTGGAGACTAGTTGAATGTAGTGTCTGGTGGGTGTGGAAACTGGTTGGATGTAGTGTCTAGTGGGTGCGGAGACTGGTTGGATGTGGAAATTTGCTAAAGGTGGAGACTAACTGGATGTGGAGACTGGTTGGATGTGAAGACTGGTTGGATGTGAAGACTGGTTGGATGTGAAGACTGGCTGGATGTGGAGACTGGTTGGATGTGGAGACTGGTTGGATGCAGTGTCTGGTGGGTGTGGAAACTGGTTGGATGTAGGGCCTGGTGGGTGTGGAAACTGGTTGGTTATAGTGTCTGGTGGTTGTGGAGACTGGTTGAATGTAGTGTCTGGTGGGTGTGGAAACTGGTTGGATGTGAAAGTTTGCTAAATGTGGAGACTAACTGGATGTGGAAACTGGTTGGATGTAAAGACTGGTTGGATGTGGAGACTGGTTGGATGTGGAGACTGGCTGATTGTGGAGACCGATTGTATGTAGAGACTGGCTGGATGTAGAGACTGGCTAAATGTGGAGACTAGTTGAATGTGTAGAATGGTTGGATGTGGAGACTGGTTGGCGTTGTGGAGACTGGTTGGATGTGGAGACTAACTAAATGTGGAGACTAATTAAATGTGAAGAATGACAGGATATGGAGACTGGCTGAATGTGGAGATTGGCTGGATGTGGAGACTGATTGGATCTGGAGTCTGGTTGAGTGTAGTTTCTGGTTGGATGTGGAGACTGGTTGGATGTGGATACCGGCTAGATGTCACAAGCAAGAGACAGAGACTAGCACCCAAATTATTTTGTCTAAAATAAACGTCCAGTAAGTACAGAATGGAGCCTCATGCAAATTACCATTGCTGTGTTAAACACTCAGGTACCCATTTCCGCAGATTAGCACTGCTAGATTTACAATAAAAGACAGTGACAGTCGCAAATGAACGCTAGGTAAGTTAAATGTACCGACCACTGCGGATGAGAACTTCTTGATTTACACCAAAATGTTTACCACTGTTTGATTTACAACACTCAGTCACCGCGACAGACGCCAAGACATCTTGTGGAGAACTCACCTTCTAAGAGATGGTCCCTGTGTTCCGCCCAGTCATTTCTTGACTGTGAAGTCAGCACCCCGACTTCTGGTGATTGCTTGTTGTTCTCGGCCATGTTCAGTATTCGTGACAACTGTAAACACAGATCTGCCTCACAGATAGGGTCCCCAAATGTGCCGACCTCCACTTTGTAAAACTGTCGGATAGTTCAAGACAAGCTGTCATATACTACTGCATATACTACAGCTGTTGGTGTTACTGCATTGCTGCTTACTACTACAACTATTGCTACTACTACTATAACTAACTACTTGTTACTACGACTAATTTACTACTACTAAATCTAATACTACCAGTACTGCTGCTGCTGCTACTGCTACTATTACTACTACTACATGTAATAGGCAGGAACTACTTTTAGAGAAGGCATGACACAGACTGGGGCTATCCTCCGAATAACGGCCACATATTATGGCGGCCAAAAACACACCCTGACAGGGCCTCATTAAGTCGTGTGTTGTAAACATTCAAAAACTTGAACTCTAAAATAATGAGGAACGAAAAAAAGGGAAAATGACAAAATCGACTACTTAGCGATAATTGACACCTTTATGTATCTGAAAATAGGGCACAGAAGTTGCAAATAGTGCCCGAAAATCTGCTCTTTGTGGCTGTGGCGCCATTGAAACGCGGCTAAATATGATCGGTTCCGCATTTGTAACGCAGTTTTCACCGCCAAGAGAGTATCTCGGGGGGGGGGGGGGGGGGGGGGGGGGGGGGGGGGGGGGGGGGCTAAATTAAGTGGCTGGGACTCACGAGCAAAAAAAATTTAGGAAGTTGCAGGAGATGCGTTAGCTGCTGCTCGTGAGTCCCAGCCATCTAGTTAAGCCCCCGATACGCGGCGCGCGTAGCGGCGCCGGATACTTTCGGCGGTGAGTTTAATCGGAAGAACACTATCGCTAACCTGCGTAGTAGCGCGTGGTCTCCTCACCATGTCGCTATTATCGTGTGTATAGTTGCGTTTCTTGAAATTGTCAACAGACAGTAATTCTAGTTTTGCCGCGATGTGTTCGCCGGAGGAAGTCCGCAATTTACATGTGATTGAGGCCCTGTCAGGGTGTGTTTTTGGCCGCCATGATATGTGGCTGTTATTCGGAGGATAGCCCAGACTGGTTCTACTGCCATGGAACGTGTCACAGACAGGTTCTACTTTCAAGGAACATGTCATTGGATAAAAACTACATTTAGCAAACAAAATTTCACCGAAAGGTGAAACAAAAAGGTGGAACAACACGTCACAGAAAAGAAATATTTTTAGGAAACAACATGACAAAGGCTGGTCCTACTTCCAAGAACCAACTGACCTGGTTGTTGCAAGCCACCACAATGTACTCGTTGCCTGTAGCGTGTAGGTTAGTCCTCAGCACATCCACATCATGGCCTGGCTGTCTGTAGGAGCTGAAGAGCCGATAATGTTGTTCCATGCAGAGTGGCTGACCCTTTTCTTTGTTCTTGCATCTCTCGATAGGTAATGTCCGTCTGTGTTGGTTGTGGCAATGTTGAGAATTATAACCTGCTCAGTTTGTCCACGTGTGTTGACTGTGGCAATGTTGAGAATTATAACCTGCTTAATCTATTTGTCTTTGTTGATTGTGCAATGATGAGAATTATAACCTGCTCAGTCTGTTCGCGTGTGTTGATTGTACAATGCTGAGAATTATAACCCGCTTAATCTGTTTGTCTTTGTTGATTGTGCAACGTTGAGAATTCTAACTTGCTCAGTCTGTCCACGTTTGTTGATTGTGGCAATGTTGAGAATTATAACCTGCTTAATCTATTTTGTCTTTGTTGATTCTACAATGTTGAGAATTATAACCTGCTCAGTAGATACTTAACTATATGCCTGACGATCTGTCTGTCTGTATGTTTGTCTTTTTTGAATGCATCAAGGTTGAGAATTATACCAAGCTCAGTCAGTCTGTCTGGCCGTTTGTGTGTTTGACTAAACACTCAACAATTTACATACCTATCTGTCTTCCTGTAAGTCTGTGCGTTGTTCTGTTCTTCCCATGTCTTTCAATTTGCATGCGCATCTGTCAGTCTCCAAACAACTGTTTGTACACGTGTCCTGTCATTTTCCATCTATCCTGTAAAGTGTCCACTCGTTCCACCATCTATCCCCTAATGTGTCCACTCGCTCTTTCATCCATCCCTCAGTCTGTCCACTCGTTGCTACATCTTTAAAAAAAAGTGTCCAAACATTCGTCCATCTATCCCCAAATGTGTCCACTCGCTCTTTCATCCATCCCTCAGTCTGTCCACTCGTTGTCCCATTTTAACTAAAAGTGTCCACTTATTCGTTCATCTATCCCCCAGTGTGTCCACTTGCTCTTTCATCTATCCCTCAGTCTGTCCACTCGTTGCCACATCTTTAACTAAAAGTGTCCAAACATTCGTCCATCTATCCCCAAATGTGTCCACTCGCTCTTTCATCCATCCCTCAGTCTGTCCACTCGTTGTCCCATCTTTCCCTAAAAGTGTCCACTTATTTGTCCATCTATCTCCCAGTGTGTACACTCGGTCTTTCATCTATCCCTAAACAGATCATTTCTACAGCCCAGTTACCTCTCAATGTATTTGTCTCCCTATCCGTACACCCTACAACACCTGTCCACCAACTGATATGTGTACTGTACATATTAGTGATCTGCATATTTGATAGAATGTTGTATTTGATTGGTTGCTGGAACTGTCGCAGGATGAGTTGATGTTGTTGGTTTATGGTTGGATGGAATGTATATTTGATATTTGACTTGAGATTAAATCTTGATGCATGAATGTTGTTGTATGTCTGTGTGATGTTTTGTCTTGATGATTGAATATGACATGGTTTGATTTGGGAGGTGAATGGATATCTATAAATTGAATATATTTTGGTGGAAAATGTAATTTTTTGAATTTGGATGATGTTTGTTTGGAAAATGTTGATGGTGGTGGATGGTGGATGGTGTTGGGGGGATGGTGGATGGTGGATGGTGGGTGGATGGATGGATGGTGGATGGTGGTGGATGGAGATGGATGATGGGGTGGTGTATGTTGTTCTGTATGTTGCATTCGTTGTCTTTTTATTACACGCCCGTATTTGTTGTTTTGTGTGTGTGGGGTGTGTGTTGTGTGTGTTTTGTGGTATTGTGTATTTGTTGTGTGTTGTGTGTTTGTTTGTGTGTATTTGTTGTATTAAGTATTTGTTTTATTATGTATGTATGTATGTTGTTGTTGTATGTATTAGTTGTATGTAGTATGTTGTATGATGTATGTTTTGGTATGTTGTATGTTGTTGTTTTTATGTTGTATGTATTTTTGTTGTTGTTGATTTTTTTGTTGTTGTTGTTGTTTATGTATGTTTTGTTGATTTTGGTTTTTGTATTTGTTTTGTTGTTTTTGTTGTTGTTGTATGTTGTTGGGTTTTATGTTTTGTTTATGTTGTGGTTTTTNTATGTATGTATGTAGGTCTGTATGTAATGTATGTATGTATGTATGTATGTATATGTATGTATAGTATGTATGGTATGTATGTATGTATGTATGTAAATGTATTATGTATGTATGTATGTATGTATGTATGTATGTATGTATGTATGTATGTATGTATGTATTTATGTATTATGTATGTATGTATGTATGTATGTGTATGTATGGATGTATGTATGTATGTGTGTATGTATGTATGTATGTATGTATGTATGTATGGCGTTATGTATGTATGTATGTATGGTATGTATGTATGGATGGATGGAGGCGGAGAGGCTTGATGTCTGTATGTAGATGTATGTATGTATGTATGATGTATGTATGTATGGTATGTATGTATGTATGTATGTAATGGATGTATGTATGTGTGTATGTATGTATGTATGTATGTATGTATGTATGTATGTTATGTATGTATGTATGTATGTAGGTATGTATGTATGTAATGTATGTATGTATGTATGTATGTATGTATGTATGTATGATGTATGTATGTAGTTGTATGTATGTATGTAGTATGTATGTATGTATGTATGTATTGTATGTAATGTATGTATGTATGTATGTATGTATGTATGTATGTATGTATGTAGTATGTATGTATGTATGTATGTATGTATGTTATGGATGTATGTATGTATGTATGTATGTATGTATGTATGTATGTATGTAGTATGTATGTATGTATGTATGTATGTATGTATGTATGTATGTATGTATGTATGTATGTATGATGTATGTAGTCATGTATGTATGTATGTGTGTATGTATGTATGTATGTATGTATGTATGTATGTATGGTATGTATATGTGTATGTATGTTTTGTATGTATGTATGTATTGGATGTATGTATGTCTGTATGTATGTGATGTATGTCTGTGATTATGTATGTATGTATGTATGTACTGTATGTATGTATGTATGTATGTAGGTATTAGTATGTATGTATGTATGTATGTATGTATGTATGTATGTATGTATGCATGGATGTATGTATGTATGATGTATGTATGTAGGTGTGTATGTTATGTATGTATGATGTATGTATGTATTTATGAATATGTGTAGTATGAATGTATGTTAACTTTGTTGATATGTAGTAGTATGTAGCATGTAGTATGTGTCATCCTGGTCTTGTACCTCTCCAGTGTTTGGATCTTGGAATTATGTCGGAAGTATTTCAGTTCGGTAGAGACACTAGTTATGTGTTGGTCAACTTTAATCTGACCCTTCTATATTGTGTGGAGATATTGCAGGAATAATGGTGTGTTTGCGTCCGTGAGCGAGACTGTGTGTGCGCGCGCGAGCGCGTGTGTGTTTCTTTCTTTTATTCGTTTGCGGAAATAATTGTGTAAAAACATATCCCTGTTTGATGTTTTCCATTTAAAAAAAAGGTTGGGAAATCTTCCACAATCAACATTCTGTGAATCTCAAGAAAGGTTTTTTCTCCCCAAAACTTGCAGACAATAACCACAGAAAATGGCCGTCAGCACCAGATGGCGCTGTTCGCATGCCACACAGAGGGCGCCATTGACAGTATCTCAGCGATCACCTAATTACCTGGCAGCGGACCAACAAGGGTTTAAATAAACTCTGGGCTGTTAAACGGGCGGCAATGGAATTTTCTAAATTAACTTCTGCCTTTTAATCAGATTTAATAACAACAAACCTTTTAAAGGCCAGCCTTTACGACCATGATTTTTTTATGTTTTTATTCTCTCTCTCTCTCTCTCTCTCTCTCTCTCTCTCTCTCTCTCTCTCTCTCTCTCTCTCTCTCTCTCTCTCTCTCTCTCTCTGTGTGTGTACGTTCGATAATTCTTCTCAACTTTCTTATCTTAGAATTAATATACCAGGCTCGTCTGGAAATTGCTTTAATTAGCAATAAAGGGACCAGAACTAAAAAGGGCTAATCATTTCTGTGTTGATCCACTTGCTCATTGATAAGTGTGTCCTGCAAATGTTGACAGACCGGGCAAACATGCAACGACCAATCGCCAAGGATCCACGTTCCCCTGTCGAGGTGAGCGTTGTCGACTGTTTACTTTCATCTTAGACAATCCAATTATAACTGGTACGGTTTATAACGGCATGTTTTCATCACCGATCGCGGGTAATCGGCCTGCCAGATGATCGATGCCGGCTCAAGTAGCGGCAGATAAAAGACCCCATAATACACATAGACTCTTGAATCAGGAGACGGCCGATCATTAATCTACACAACCCGGAAATCAATCGCTGCAAGTTCTGGTACTTGGCCACGTCAGAGACTTTTTTTTTTTTCTCTTGAAAGGATTTCTTAACAGCCTTCTTTCCGGTCTTAATCAATAGCCACTTTCTTTTTACTTCTTTGTGTTTATTTTTCTTTGGAAATATTTGAAGTTCATCAATTTAAGATGTTTAAAACGTCCGCTTTCTCTTACTAACGACACATTCTTCTTCTTTTTCTTTTTGCTTCTTGTTATTCTTGTTTGTGTGTGTGTGTGTGTGTGTGTGTTCTAGTTCTTCTTCTTCTTCTCCTCCTTCCTCTTCATCTTGCTTCTTCTTCATTTTCTTGCTTCTTATTCTTGTTCTTGCTCTTTCTCTTTAGTCTAGTCTGGGAGCATGATGTACATCTCTAGTCTGGGAGCATCTCTAACATGTCTAGTCTACGAGCATCATTTCATGTCTAGCCAAGCTAATAACATATACATGTCTAGTCTACGAGCATCACTTCATGTCTAGCCAAGCTAATAACATATACATGTCTAGTCTACGAGCATCATTTCATGTCTAGCCAAGCTAATAACATATACATGTCTAGTCTACGAGCATCACTTCATGTCTAGCCAAGCTAATAACATATACATGTCTAGTCTACGAGCATCACTTCATGTCTAGCCAAGCTAATAACATATACATGTCTAGTCTACGAGCATCACTTCATGTCTAGCCAAGCTAATAACACATACATGTCTAGTCTACGAGCATCATTTCATATCTAGCCAAGCTAATAACACATACATGTCTAGTCTACGAGCATCATTTCATGTCTAGCCAAGCTAATAACACATACATGTCTAGTCTACGAGCATCATTTCATGTCTAGCCAAGCTAATAACACATACATGTCTAGTCTACGAGCATCATTTCATATCTAGCCAAGCTAATAACACATACATGTCTAGTCTGCGAGCATCATTTCATGTCTAGCCAAGCTAATAACACATACATGTCTAGTCTGCGAGCATCACTTCATGTCTAGCCAGGCTAATAACACATACATGTCTAGTCTACGAGCATCATTTCATATCTAGCCAAGCTAATAACACATACATGTCTAGTCTGCGAGCATCATTTCATGTCTAGCTAAGCTAATAACACATACATGTCTAGTCTGCGAGCATCACTTGATGTCTAGCCAAGCTAATAACACTTACATGTCTAGTCTACGAGCATCATTTCATATCTAGCCAAGCTAATAACACATACATGTCTAGTCTACGAGCATCATTTCATATCTAGCCAAGCTAATAACACATACATGTCTAGTCTGCGAGCATCATTTCATGTCTAGCCAAGCTAATAACACATACATGTCTAGTCTGCGAGCATCACTTCATGTCTAGCCAAGCTAATAACACTTACATGTATAGTCTACTAGCATCACTTCATGTCTAGCCAAGCTTATAACACTTTCATGTCTAGTCTACGAGCATCACTTACGTGTCCAATAAGTTCTTGAAGTCGAGCATCCCACAAATTAACTTGGCTGTGATCCTGAAAACATGTGACAATTCGTTTGTTGTAAGGCAGTATTTTACAAAACGGAGACTATTTTATGCAATCTTTCTTTGTCAACTGATACGAGAAAGCGAAGTCTTTAAAGCTATATAAATCATGTCTTGATGTACGGAAATGAATCATAGACATTTAGCAGATTAGTAAAATAAATATTAGGAAGCTGAGGAGATGTGGTTTTCTAGACGAATGGTGAGAATACCCTGGACAGATACAAAGAGTAATGAAGATGTCTTGAAAAAAAAAAACCATGATTTGAGAACAGACTGCCAACATCAGGAAGAGACAAACCACATACTTTGGTCATGTGACGAGAAGGAGAAAACTGGAGTACAGCGTGACAGTAGGAAAGGTGGAGGGAAGAAGAGGCACAGGGAGTCCGAGAGAAAAGATGCCTGACAGTTTAACATCATGACATGAAGGATACTCTGTGTCAGAGTTAATTGAAAGTACACGAGACAGAAGGTTGTGAATAGACATGACCACCAACGCCACAGGCATGGATTTCAAAAAAAAAAAAAAAAAAAAAAGAATGGTTAGAATCTGCTAACGTAGTCTTATAAACGATGCCAGATCGTTGACTAGTCTGCTCTGGCCATCTGACAAAGTCTATTCAGACCAGCAGTTCTCAATCAGTGGGTCACGACGCTTTTATGGGTCGAAAAACCCTTTCACAAGGGTCGCATAAGAGCAACGGAAAACATACATTGACTGAAGTTATGAAGTAGCAACGACAATAACTGTATGGTTGGGAGTCGCTACAACATGAGGAACTGCATGAAAGAGTCCGCACAACATAAGTAACTGTATCAAAGGGTAGCAGCATTAGCAAGGTTGAGAACCACTGATTTAGATGATACAAGTGGAGTACGAGGTAAAAGCTTGCATGAAGATAGGTCGCACTCAGACTTGGTTATTCAGCTCAGTATACTCAGGGTCCGACTGTTGAGAATGAGACTGGTAACGGACCAGAGGCCCAGTCATATGATATCATGATGGGTCTAGCACAAATCTATTCAACTGGCAGCCCGCGGGCCAAATCTGTGCCGCTAAGGCATAACAAGTGGCCCGTCGATCACCTTCCAGCTGTACTGTTTTAATGCTCTTTCTATGTTGATACTAAGCATCTGGCCCGTGACGATCCCCACATTCCGAAGTTTGGCCACTGAGTGAACTTAGCTGAAAAGCCGTGGTCTAGCGGGTCATGACCCAGCTGACTTCAGATAGGTGGGAGTAATGGGTTATGACCTCTCATAACCGTTCGGCCGGTGTGCCGCACGATAACCTCTGGTGCCCTAGATCGTGTAAATACACCATGCGAATACAAACAATGTCGACATCGATAATCAATTGCATATCACAGAGAGGTGGGAGAGTAACATCTAAAAGGCAGGAGTATAACTCATAGAGGCAGGAGTGTAACGTATAGAGGCAGGAGTGTAACATTTAAACGCAAGAGAGTAACATCTAAAGACAGGAGAGTTAACGTCTAGAGGCAGGAGAGTAACATCTAGAGGCATGAGAGCAACATCTAGAGGCAGAAACGTAACATCTAGAGGCACAAGAATTACATCTAGAGGCTGAATTGTAAAGTCTAGAGGCAGGAGAGTAACATCTAGAGGCAGGAGAGTTACATCTAGAGTCAGGAGAGTTACGTCTAGAGGCAGGAGAGTTACATCTAAAAGCAGGAGTTACGTCTAGAGGCAGGAGATTTACGTCTAGAGGCAGAAGAGTAACATCTAGAGGCAGGAGAGTTACATCTAGAGTCAGGAGAGTTACGTCTAGAGGCAGGAGAGTAACATCTACAGACAGGAGAGTTACATCTAGAGGCAGGAGAGTTACATCTAGAAGGAGGAGATTTACGTCTAGAGGCAGGAGAGTTACATCTAGAAGCAGGAGTTTTACGTCTAGAGGCAGGAGATTTACGTCTAGAGGCAGGAAATTTACGTCTAGAGGCAGGAGATTTACGTCTAGAGGCAGGAGATTTACATCTAGAGGCAGGAGATTTACATCTAGAGGCAGGAGATTTACGTCTAGAGGCAGGAGATTTACGTCTAGAGGCAGGAGATTTACGTCTAGAGGCAGGAGATTTCCGTCTAGAGGCAGGAGATTTACGTCTAGAGGCAGGAGATTTACGTCTAGAGGCAGGAGATTTACATTTAGAGGCAGGAGATTTACGTCTAGAGGCAGGAGATTTACGTCTAGAGGCAGGAGATTTACGTCTAGAGGCAGGAGATTTACGTCTAGAGGCAGGAGATTTACGACTAGAGGCAGGAGATTTACGTCTAGAGGCAGGAGAGTTACATCTAGAGGCAGGAGATTTACGTCTAGAGGCAGGAGAGTAATATCTAAAGGCAGGAGACCGACATACCTAACCTGGTGTCTCCGGGACGGAAATCGCTGGTAAGGGAAGACGGCTACCGGGTTGGAGTTGATGATGAGTGGAAGTCTGACGTTGAGGTACATGTCGTTTAGCCACCAGTCTGTAGCCTGCAGGGTGGACATCACACGGTCAGTTAAGGTTAGACATCACACAGTCAGTTAGTGTTAGATATCACACAGTCAGTTAGTGTTAGACATCACACGACCAGTGAGTTTTAGACATCATATGGTTAATCAGTGTTAGACATCACACAGTCAGTTAGTGTTAGACATCACATGGTTAATCAGTGTTAGACATAACACAGTCAGTTAGTGTTAGACATCACATAGTCAGTTAAGGTTAGAAATCACACAATCAGTTAGTGTTAGACATCAAACGGGCAGTGAGTGTTAGACATCACATGGTTAATCAGTGTTAGACATCACACAGTCAGTATATGTTAGACATCACATGGTTGGTCAGTGTAAGACATCACACAGTCAGTATATGTTAGACATCACATGGTTAGTCAGTATTAGACATCACTTGGTGAATCAGTGTTAGACATCACACGGTCATTGCTTGTTAGACATCACATGGTTAGTCAGTGTTAGACATCACATGGTCAGTTAGTGTTAGACATCACACAGTCAGTTAGTGTTAGACATCACACGGTCAGTTAGTGTCAGACATGACACGGTCAGTGTTAGAACATCACGAAACTCATAAAACTTTGGCTAATTACAGTTTTAGAGACATTTCACTCCCTACAGCCAAAAAGAGAAAATATCAAATGACAAAGAATTAAACACGATGTACACAAGTGAGTTGAGTGGCATAGACCACGAGGAGGACTATGAAGACTAGGGAGATACTATATATATAGGCAGACCTACAAACACTTGTTGAAGTTGTCAGTCTCTCTGCTGTAGCAACGTCTACATTCACCTATATGTTCAATATCTTGTTCCTTTGTTCCGCTGCCTGGTGTTGCCGATATCTAAATAATAGAGATATCGCTACTGGTGGTATGTGTTGCCGATCATAGTTAATCTTTAGACACGAATTATTCTTTGTCTATGCGCTCCTCTTGCTCGATATTATCCAAGACATAGCTTATCTGGGATGTGCAGTATCATTTATCTGACCAGGCAGTGAGAGTTTGCACTGATTTCTTTCAATCATCTGTGGTCCTGGTATCGACCCTTTCTCTCCTGGTTCATACTGTGTGGTCTCGCGTCCAGCCAGCAGCGGGGAAGAGGTAGATTTATGACAGTTTACAAATTTATATTTATGTATTGACATTTTGCGGGAGGAAAGAATCATGAGCGAAATGTTATGTATGAAGAATGCCTATTGTGTGTATGTGTGTGTGTGTGTGTGTGTGTGGGGGGGGGGGCAGCTCATGTCTGCGAGCTCGCGCGCGTGTATGTTGGTTTTGTGGGTTTATGAATTGCTCATAGTGGTTTGTCTTGTCTCCTAACTACATGAAACTGGCACGTTGTCCGCTGTTTTCGAGTCTCTGATTCGTTTCTTGAACTTGGTGCTGGCTACTGACCACTGGTTGTATACATGGTCACAGTCCCCCTTGGGGGAGTGGTATGTTAAGGGCTGACAGGATGGTTAGACTGACTGCTTCCCATGTCGTCAAAGGAAACAAATTGGGAATTCTTCCTCCAAAGTCGTACCGCGTCTGTCTAAAAGCCCAGTACCAACCGTTTGATTTCAAATAAGCAGACCTGTCAAACGGATGTACTCAATAAATTCAAATTCTAGAACAAGACTAAAGTCCAGAAGTGAAGTCCAGAAGTGGACGAACAACTAGAATTTTCCTACAAAGTCAACAGCCAGTGAACGATAAAAAGATCCAGTGGTTAGATACATTACAGATTCAACAAATCGATGAGATAATATACAAAATGGATTCCACGAATAAATGATGTAGACAAGAAAAGAATAGTGTTAGAACGCCTACTGACCCAGTTGTCGGTATTCTGCTGTCTGGAGAGAAGATAGTCCTGCAGCTGCTGTCCCAGTCCATGGGGCTTGCAGAAGTCTGCCACGATTCGCTGGGTTCGGGCGTACTCTTCGGGAGAGACCACTGTCTTAACCAGGCTCAGGTACTTGTCCATGGTGCTCTGGAGTTCCGGGACAGGCAGTTTCGGCAGGGTATGCTGTGAGAGACAAAATATGGACAGTGTGTTGTTATGTCAGGATAGCAGCTACAAACGCGACAAAATAACACGCGACAATAGCACATACAGGAAATGCAAGTAAAAACAATAGAACAGACAGGAAAGGTGATTTAACAATAACAGACCTGAAAGGTGATTCACCTATAACACAGACAGAAAGGTGACTCAACAATAACACAGACAGGAAAGGAGATTCAACAATAATACAGACAGGAAATGTTATTTCACAACAATAATAAAGACATGTAGGATGATTAAAACAATAGCACAGACAGGAAAGGTAATTCAACAAAAATACAGACAGGAAAGGTGATTCACCAATAACACAGACAGGAAAGGTGATTCAACAATAATATAGACAGGAAAGGTGATTCGCCAATAACACACACACACACACACACACACACACACAGGAAAGGTGATTCAACAATAATACAGACAGGAAAGGTGATTCACCAATAACACAGACAGGAAAGATGATTCAACAGTAATACAGACAGGAAAGGTGATTCAACAATAATACAGACAGGAAAGGTTATTTCACAACAATAACAAAGACATGTAGGATTATTAAAACAATAGCGCTGACAGGAAAAGTGATTCAACAATAACACAGCGAGGAAAGATGATTCTAAAATAATACAGACAGGTAAGGTTAGTCCACAACAATAACACCGACAGGAAAGGTGATTCAACCACACACAAATGTGACAGTTGTCACTGTTTGGTCACACTAGGAGAAGAAACCTATGTTATCTACGGGATATATGGTAACTGAAAAGATTTATAAGAAAACAGCGAAAACAACAATTGCAGATTCTTAACAGCCTTTTGTCACTGTATGTGAAATTATCGGCACATGAATTAATACATACTGTTAAAAATGTGGAGAAACATATTAGCCTAGGCCAGTCGGCACGCCACATTATTAAAGATGTGCCATAGGATGTGTTTCATAAATAATCAAAGACCCAGTAAAAGAATATTTCCCATAAATAAACTGCCACCACCGATCTAGTATGAAAGGTCTTCAGTAAATAATGTTTCAACAAGGATCGTTTCTGAAAAATCTTACATAAATAATCAATTTTCAAAGATTTATAATGAAAGACCTACCATAAATAAAACTTTTATCACACGTTTACGATTTTTTTTTTAAATCATGAAAGATTTATAATCTAAACTCTACGATAGAAGGTTAAAAAAAATGTGAAAGACCACCCATAAATAATTTGTAATAAAAGACATGAAATTAAAGGCTTGTGTTTAGAAAAAAAAAATGTATAATTCACGAAATTCTAAATGATACGCCATCAAAGATTTACCTAAGATAATACGCCATTCAGAATCTACTATTAAAGGTGTTCTATCACCGACCTACCAACAAAAACCCTTTTCAGCGGATCTAATAAAACATCTATCGGCAGACACGCACAGTCTTAAGTGCCCTAACATAGTCATGGGTAGCTGGCTTTCTGCACAGACAAGGTCGCAAAGCTTTTGTATGAACTACCAAAAGAGTGTTGACTTGTGATCTTCTATATCCTGTCCTGACCCAGATACTTTGATCTGGATTCGGTCACAACCCCGGGTTTTGTAGAAGCTGCCAACAGGGCAGCGGTTCCAGTGACTGACCTAGTTACCTACTACTTCATGACTGTTGTCACTTACCGGGTGTACTCTTGGCTCAAGTCGAATTAATCGCCAGAAATGCCCGAATATTGCCGACGCCCTAAAACAGGAGGCCGCGACGTGAACAAATTTTGGAACCCACTGTTCTAGGTCTTCTCAAATGGGAAGCCCATCTTTCTCTCTTTTACTTCAACATTGGACATTGTTGTCTCATTCAGTTTCCGATACACTCATGAACGCCCATTCGGCTGTGTTTGCACACTTCCTTCTGTTGTCTCTGATACCAGGTTGTAGCCCAGTGTCTCGGTTTTCTGTGTCTCGTTTCTTAGGTGGCTTGGGGAATGGATTTGTTCGTCTTGTTCAGTTTTACAATGTATCTATCTCTTTCTTGATCTTCCTAAGGCCTTAGAAGGTCTGCTGTAAAAAAAAGGCTCATATGCATTTTGGTCTGGCTGCATTCTCGCTAGAAAGCTGCAATATTTCATCCTTTGTCTGTCAATGTAAATCTAAAACTGTCTTGTCCTGACCTTTTCTCTCATGGTGGTATTCGTAACCCTGTCCCTTCTAGTGTTGCTGCTGACTTTAATGTTCTAGTGCAGGTAGTTATTTGCTGTTCTAGTGCAGGTAGTTGTTTGCTGTTCTAGTGCAGGTAGTTATTTGCTGTTCTAGTGCTCAGCTCATTGTTCATTATATTATCAAGCTCTACCCCTACAGCAGCATAAAACATTATCTTACATTCTTTGCTTCAAGTCATTCTAGATCTATTGCTGCCCTACAGCAGCATAGTATATTATCTTACATTCTTTGCTTCAAGTCATGGTAGATCTGTTGCTGCCCTACAGCAGCATAGTATATTATCTTACATTCTTTGCTTCAAGTCATGGTAGATCTGTTGCTGCCCTACTCATTCTTCACTTTGTCCACACGACTGATACAGAATCTTGATAATTTTGGGGGGAAAAAAAGGGGGGGGGGGGTGTAAGGGTATTAATTCGCTTTTATGTAAATAATTTTGTATATCAATATATTTTCTACCCCGCCATAAAAAAAAAATGTTTTATAGAAGAGGAGATGAGCGTCGATCAGCACGGTGTGGGAGTATTATACTGAACCTGAAGGCACAGGGAACACTGGAGTGATAGAAACATCGGGGACACAGGACACTGGAGTGATAGAAACATAGGGGACACATGACACTGGAGTGATAGAAACATCGGGGACACATGACACTGGAGTGATAAAAACATAGGGGACACATGACACTGGAGTGATAGAAACATCGGGGACACATAACACTGGAGTGATAGAAACTTTGGGGACACATGACAATGGAGTGATATAAACATCGGGGACACATAACACTGGAGTGATAGAAACATCGGGGACGCATAACACTGGAGTGATAGAAACTTTGGGGACACATGACAATGGAGTGATATAAACATCGGGGACACATAACACTGGAGTGATAGAAACATCGGGGACGCATAACACTGGAGTGATAGAAACATCGGCGACACAGAACACTTGAGTGATATAAACATCGGGGACACAGAACACTGGAGTGATAGAAACATCGGGGACACATGACACTGTAGTGATAGAAACATCGGGGACACATAACACTGGAGTGATAGAAACATAGGGGACACAGGACACAAGAGTGATAGATAACATCGGGGACACATGACACGGGAGTGATAGAAACATCGAGGACACAGGACACTAGAGTGATAGATAACATCGGGGACACAGGACACTGGAGTGATAGAAACATCGGGGAACAGGACACTGGAGTGATAGAAACATCGGGGACACAGGACACTGGAGTGATAGAAACATCGGGGACACAGGACACTGGAGTGATAGAAACATCGGGGACACAGGACACTGGAGTGATAGAAAAGATCGGGGACATAGGACACTGGAGTGATAAAAAACATAGGGGACACTGGACACTAGAGTGATTGAAACATCGGGGACACAGGACACTGGAGTGATAAAAACATCGGGGACACAGTACACTAAAGTGATAGAAACATCGGTGACACAGGACACTAGAGTGATAGAAAAGATCGGGACACAAGACACTGGAGTGATAGAAAAGATCGGGGACACAAGACACTAGAGTGATAGAAACATCGGTGACACAGGACACAGGAATGATAAAAACATCGGGGACACAGGACACTGGAGTGATAAAAACATCGGGGGCACAGGACACTTGAGTGATAGAAAAATCGGGGACACAGGACACTAGAGTGATAGATAACATCGGGGACACAGGACACTGAAGTGATAGACAAGATCAGGGACACAGGACACTAGAGTGATAGATAACATCGGGGACATATGGCACTAGAGTGATAGAAACATTGGGGACACAGGACACTGGAGTGATAGAAACATCAGGGACACAGGACACTGGAGTGATAGAAACAAAGGGGACACATGGCACTGGAGTGATAGAAACATCTGGGACATAGGACACTGGAGTGATAGAAACATCAAGGACACAGGACACTGGAGTGATATAAACATCGGGGACACAGGACACTGGAGTATAGAAACATCGAGGACACATGACACGGGAGTGATAGTAACATTGGGGACACATAACACTGGAGTGATAGCAACATAGGGGACACATGACAATGGAGTGATAGAAACATCGGGGACACATGACACTGGGCTGATAGAAACATCGGGGACACATGACACTGGGCTGATAGAAACATCGGGGACACATGACACTGGGGTGATAAAAACATCGGGGACACATGACACTGGGCCGATAGAAACATCGGGGACACATGACACTGGGCTGATAGAAACATTGGGGACACATGACACTGGAGTGACAAAAACATCGGGGACACATGGCACTGGAGTGATAGAAAACATCGGGGACACATGACACTTCAGTGATGGAAAAAAATGGAGATATAGGATACATGAGATCACGGGACTGACAAAAAAAAAGATTGGGGAAAAATGGACCAGGACAATAGACAAGACAGGAGAACTGATACGTGAGTGAGAGGCAGAATGAAAAGTCTGAGCTGTAATATTGAAGAAGTGTGGTTGGCAAAACATTGAAAATCAATTTACGCACACACATTCACACTCACACCCACCGCCACCCCACTCCCCCCCCCCCACACACACACGCACACACACATACACACACGCACACACACACGCACACACACACACGCACATATATAACGTTGCAGTGAACATTAAAAACTATAACAGTATACGGGATAAATAATAGATTTCGAAGTATACACATGGACATTAACAGATAATGTATCGCAGTAACATAAATATAACGCTATTTTCTCAGTAACCTAACTAAAACAGATTATTTTCACAGTAAGAACATAGCTGCGAGAGACGTAGCTAATTTTCGCTGGGTTGTGATAAGATAAGTACACAGTAACTGTGGCTCTGCTACCACCAAACAGCTGCTATGTTATCAAGTGTAAATATTAATAACGGGCTACCATGCTGAGTTCCATAACAACATATAATATGCTCTCAGTGAGCCAGCTATCACTTGAGACGGTGAGCATTTGACCCTGGTACAGGGGAATCCGTTATTGATTTGTGACTGGGTCTATGCATTGTCAGGAAAGACGATTTCGAGCGATACTCTGGTCAGCCCATCATACTGCCATAGGCCCCATCATGGTCGTGTTTTGTAAATAAAAAGAAAAGAACAGATCTACTCCAGCGGTCACGTATGATAACAGAGATGGCGGTTGGCCACATGACAGATGCTGATCTAGGGTCGTCGCCTGCTAGGGTTTCACAGATACTAGACCGGGTGATAATGGGGCAATGAGCTATCCCAGCTCTAGATTTTCTAGTCCCAAATTACTCATCTGAATGTTGAATTAAGATACGATATTATAGAAATCGGGGGACTCCCATAAACCCTCTGTCCCCATCTTCAGTATTAAGCGAAGAGTTTCAATTCTGATGGCACCAATAACTGTCTGATTGTATATCCGTCTCGTCTTTCCCTTGAGTGTTGAGCGTCGGCAACATCGCCTGGTAACTGATCGCAGCGCCATTCTACTCAGACCGCAAAGATCTATTTGTGCCTCCGCACTGTTCACTCGCTCCCAAAAGGCCCTCACAACATCTTGCCTATCAAACAGCAGTTCGCCACCAAGTGATGCAGAACCAGCCAGTCTGTCTGCCTTCTCATTTCGCAACACACCGACATAACCTGGAGAAAATATCCAAAGGATTTACACAGGACTTCTGAAGTGATGCTTGCCACTCTACACGCAGCATGCCTGTCTCCACCTTTCTCAACTTTCTCTGCGAGTCTGTTACAATCACGGCATGTGAGTACAGATCATTCTCAAATCAGCGGAAGACTGTAGACTGCCTCCACCTCCATTCTTAAACTAGCATTGCGATAGCATATGCCAAGCTTTGTTGCACTAAGCGACGTATTTTGTACCTTTATTTTAACTCAGTTAAAAGCCAGGTCAACATTTCACAATAAAAACATTACAATAACATTTACATTTTCATGTTAACTAGCTGTAGAATGTTATCTTCCAATGATAAAGACAACGGATCATTTTGAATTTCGTTGACAACTCGACTGCCGCATCTTCTACCTAACAAAGCTGTATATGGCTGCTTGATAAACACACTGCAATTTTTTTTATATTGATCTGATAACCATTTGCACCAATTTGTATTTAACCGTTAACTGTACAGTGGCACCGTTTTGTTGTTAAAATAGCTGTAATAAGCCATGTTTAACTGTCAACAACACTGCCAAGTGGCATGTTTCATTGATAACTACATTGTGGCTTCACATTTTTTATCGATATCTGCAGTCATATGATATTTTAAATCGATATATCTGCTGTCACGTCATTTTTTTTTAAAATCGATATATGTTCTGTCGGTTATATTTTTTTTTTTCGATATCTGTTCTCCGTCATATTTCAAATCGATATCTGCTTTGTCCGTCATATTTTAATTGACATCTGCAGTCACGTCATATTTTAAATCAATAGCTGCACTGTCACTTCATATTCTAAATCAATAGCTGCACTGTCACGTTATATTCTAAATCAATAGCTGCACTGTCACTTCATATTTTAAATGGATAGCTGCACTGTCACTTCATATTCTAAATGGATAGCTGCACTGTCACTTCATATTTTAAATGGATAGCTGCACTGTCACTTCATATTCTAAATGGATAGCTGCACTGTCACTTCATATTTTAAATGGATAGCTGCACTGTCACTTCATATTTTAATTCGATATCTGCACTGTCACGTTATATTCTAAATCGATAGCTGCAGTCACTCAAATTTTAAAGGGTAACTGCCTTATCGTGTCATTTTCTAATTGATAACTGGTTTGACTTGACTTTTTACCCCACTAGGACATCACCCAGAGCGATAAACACCCGGTGACACAAAGTACCACGATTCGGATGATGATTACCCATGGAGAGGTCTCAGAAACCCCATTCAACCCATACACTGGGATATAATTAGTGTCCCCGGCAATACCCGGTTAGGGGCTTCAAAAAAAAAAACGAAAAATTGCGTCCCGCATGGTGACGTGATGAATAGTGACTGTATCGGTAACTGCACTGTCGGGTCATTTTCTAATCTGTAATTGCATTACATAAGAAAGGGTTAAAAAATTAATTACACACATTGAGTAATATAACCTGCTGTGTTTAACTGAAAACGAGTCCTGTAAAAAAAAATATCCCTGACAATGATAATATGAGTCAGCTTTAACACAGTGATAACTCCAGACTCGCTTGATAAACACCACACACAACACGGTTGCATCACTGCCAAACTATAACGGCTTACGTGACGTATAGAGTAGGGGGAAGATTCTCTTGTCTTGCCCATGGATGCCGGCCACTCGGCGACAAACAGCAACAGATCAACAAGCGTGTTTATGAATAATCTGCCCAAATAGTCCAGCCTGGGTTGTGCTGATGTATGGTAGGATGTGTCCTTGGTCGCTGCAGTCTCTTCGTTATATATTGGTTTCAGGTCGCAGGCTGTATCACGTTTGTAAAAAAATTTGTTTAAGGTAGTGTGTCATTGATGTGTCAAAGGTTGGTAACCCGTGCTCCCTGGCGGGTGACCTACTGGCGGGCTGATGAACACAATTAGGCGGGCGAGACGCGGTTATATTACCGGAATGTGAAATAGATCACCGAGTGAACAACCCACCAGTAAAGTTCGGCTCTCTGGTCTTCTCACTTGCGGCAAAGGCAGGATGTAAGGTAGGCCATTGTGGCCAAATTTGGACACTTGAAGATGTTTGATGTAGTCACGATGGAACTTGAGATTGTCACTTTGAGTGTGGACCATGCTTCCGGAGGTGGTGTCTCAACTACACTTGACGGGATTGTGTCATACCTTCATGCAATGTCCTTGACACTTATTTTATAACGGTTTTATTATACTTTCCGGACACTCGAACTACATACACAAGACAGATGTACGCATGGTTTCTCCAGTTTATCGCTTCCGTGTCTTATCTCATGCATTTTCATCTTCAGTGAGTCATAAATTGTTTCTCGATTTCATTTTGGCATTGAATTATTTAATGCTTGTTTCCCCACCGATTTATATTGGTTCTTGTCTTTTATTTCACCCCAGCACGGGGCTCCTAGCTTTCGTAACGACTTTGCGGCAAAGTCCAATAGTATAAGCTGTTTAGGGTGCGAAATGAATACCGATTAAACCTAACCCTAACCGCCACTCATAATATTCGATTTACCTGGGAATTCCCTGCGAAATCTCAGAGCTCCCCGAGATGTGATGAAATACAAGAACCTTTATATTTTGCTCCTTTTATCTATTGCACGACTGCGATTCTAATTAACAGAATAAGATGCGTGGACGTATCTTTATTGAGGTGTTTCCGAGATCGCAGGGTGCCTTTATGGTGATTGAGAAATTTCATACTTTGTAGGGCAGCCTTGAAGAAGGAAGATCCGGTCTTCTGTGACACATCATGCTAGGACAAACCAGTGAGCTGCATCTAGTGAGCTGATCCTCTCTTCTATAAACCACTAAACATTTTTAATCTATTCGTCATTTATATATTTCTCTTCTTCTTCTTCTTTTTCTTCTTCTTCTGCCTTTCTAAACGCCTAATGAGCATAGGCCCTCAAACAACTCACGCGAAGTCTTTCTTCTAAATCTACTTTATGAGAACCACTTAGATTACCGCGGACACAGAAGAGAAAGAAGAAACACACTGGCACTTTACCAGATAACAACTTTAAGCAAACTTTAACTCATAAGCAACATCGTGTTATGGAAACTGAAAAACTTTGGCAGTCTCATCCTAACTACAGTGGCTTAGAAAAAAAAAAGATTCACCACGGCATGGTTTCAGAATGGTAGGGCAGGGGTGAAACGAAACGTTGGTGGAAAGAGGACATTACAGACCCAATGCTCTCGAAACTAAGAGGGATAGGAGTAGTAATGCTGGGAGCAGGCAGTGTTGGTAGCTAGGTCTGGGGAAGAACAACTATTGTTTGATACAGTGTAAATAAACTGCCGACATTCATCAACCGATGCCTGTGCAAAACAGGAAAATGGAGGGGGGGGGGGG